TGACGTATAATGCCCATTTAAACGAAACTCTGGCCACCGTTACGCGAAGAGCTAAGGGAACATTCTTGTAAAATTTAAACTGTATGTACATCTGTATCGGCAAGACGTTCCTTTTTATCTAGCACACGCTTTAGCAGTGTGCAATTCAAGCTTAATAAGAGATAGGGCCATGACTCGAAATATGCAGAAGAAGTTCCTACAAAAAGTTGCATCCTATTGTATTATGACATCCATTATGATGATATATTTCAATCTATGGACCAAAACTACAAAGAAATCCTCAAGCAAATACATAGACTTTACGACACAGCATAGCGGTATTTTTGGACGGGATTTAAGCGAATACCCGCCACTGTATTGGTAAAAACGTTTAAGCAAAAGCTATCGTAAGATGCGCAGCAGTCAAGAGTCTAATCGGCAAACAAGTCGCAACACTCGTCACCGATCTATGTACCCCTTTATCGAGAAATAAGGCATGCCGTTGTTACAGTTATATACTCTCGCAGCGCGTTATCGTCTCATACCGATTACTTGTTTCTGTATTAAGTTAGAAAGTTTTGTGCATTCTGAAAAGCTAGTATCTTAGTTTGTAATCTGACAGAAGTGCCATGTTCAGCGTGTGCACTCGTTTACCTCATTTGAACAAAAGTTTCCATATAGTTTATCATCTTTTGTAAAGTATATTATGTGATCTATTGATTCTATTTAGTTTGAAAAATTATCTACATCCGCAACATACAGATACGACGTGCATCTGTGTTTAGCGCGCCAATACGAATGTTACAGAGGTACCCGTGCTTAATTTGTCCGAAAGCTTAAATATTACATTTTTCTTGTACTCTGTTTTTCCTGCGAACAGTTCGCGAGTCCCCATTAACACTTAAGGCTCTGCTCTCTACACGTGCCATGACACTTAAGCATTAAACAAGACCACCTTTTCATTGTAATCAGTAGAGAGTAGTATGTGAGCTTAAATTCTGTGGATGTTTTTTAGGTAGCCAACGTCAGTATCTCAGAGGTCAATGGTCTTTTTTGGCAACAATAATAAACTGGCACTCGTCCGTGTGAAAAAGACGAGATAAGCTTTTATTAAACATATCGCGCGAAATATCTAGATATAGAAAAGTACCGCTATGAATGGTCACAAAACGTGCCAGTGTACTCTATCTAGTCATATTTACGTTTGTATTATTTCATCAATGTGATGTATACTAGGCGAGCACAGTATTTTTAACGGTCAGTAATTTTGTTTGACACGCTTGGTACGTTGCAATGAAAACTTGGACTAAATTTTACCTTTACCTCCTTTAGGGTGGTAAACCAGTAACTCGTTATGCAAATACTTCTAACTTTCTAATAGTGTAACTTCTAAGCTGTGCCTGATGAATATTGAATCGTTTCTTGCTGTAAGTAAAATTGCGACTGGCTATGAATGCCTTTTGCAGCCCCATTGCGCGGTTTTAAAAGAGTCTATACAAGAAAATTCTATATCGTGTTCTCGATAATCGCGTCGATATAACTGGGCTTCGAAATGCTCATAGTATACGCGGACCGTTTTAGGAAATTCCGTTTGTCAATGGGAACGTAATTAGCTGCTTTGGTACGCTGAAGCAATAGTTCTGCTGAAGTTGGAAGTATTACTAGTAAAATTCCATAGAGGAATAATGCAAAAGAAGTAAAAATCACGCAAACAAATAAACTGTCGCTGTTAAATAATCTGCCTATATTGGAGACGTAGATGGAACTATTTTTAAGTAAAAGTGCTTTCGCGTAATTATCTTCGTCAACCATTGATGAACTTTACGAAGTTCAGCTCTAGGAGAACTTCTCTAATATGGGTAGGTTACTCTACGATTTCGACTTCGTTTACATTATTTCCCTATAAAATATCCGTAATAAGCAAGAACTGTCCGGGCACTAACTAAGAAAAGTGCACAGATAGAACGCTGTATAATGGCCACTAAGTTGAACCTATTATCAAACGATCTAAGGAAATAGATATAGCGTGCGCATCGTAACTTCAGAATGCTGTTACTATATTGCATAGGTTGACTTCCTAAACCGCTTATGGTAAACAAAGTTCAGCCTAACTGATACATGACATATTCTCTCCACCTGACTATTCATGTCAACTTCGTCGTCATCCGGATGATCATTATTGCTATATATATATATATTATTATTATTATTATTGTCTCTTCCTGAAGCGACATTTTTCCATGTTCCAATAGCCTTTATGCCCCGGTTCATTTGTTCTCTCTGTCTCGCCATATGACGGATGCCATGAGCGTGTGCATGCATTTGCGAGTGTAATGGCTGCGAATGTGAGATGGCGGGCCGATAACGTGTCACTGACCCAACCAGCGGCAGCTGCTTATGTATTCGTCGACGCTCGTGCGCGGGTACCCTCAATGCAGCTTGGAAGCGTGTTACCTAGGAGGAACGCATTGAAACCAAGCAGACAACCACCAGAAGCTTCCATTCAGGTTTTGTTCACCCTCCCAAGCAGCATTCCCGGGTCGGATTTCTTGGGGCCCCCCAAAGCGGACAGATGCCAGCGCCTGTGCACACAAAAGGTTGGTCCGCAGGTTATACCTTCAGCTGTCATAGCTGTGTATATGTACCATGACCAAGATGTTCCAGCGGGAAAAGAGCAAGCCATCAAGAAAACCGAAACAGCCCAAGAACTTTTCGCGACGACTAAAGACAACGAAATTTTCCGCATACACTGGCCGATCTGGCAATGCCAAAAATCACGGCCGACCAGTAATAGGGCGATACGGAGGATAACTTTCATCGAGTTGTCGTTGTTGATGACATAATGGCATTACAAAACAGTGTTTGTGAGTACTTATGCTGCAGCTCTGCAACCGTCTCCCCACAAACCTTTTTTGTGCCTATTGGGCAATGCGGCGATAATCCACGACGCGGAAAATTCGAGGGACGAAAAACTTCTGGCGATCACCGGCGCGCAGATTAATGCCCAATGAGCGAAGCCAACGTATGGCTGAGCGCGCTCACGTATCCTTAGAGCGGGTTCATATATCTCCGTCCGTGTCTCCGGCGTTGTTCGCGCATCCGCTGTATTGTGCTATCTTCGATAAATGCGGAGGAAAAGGCGGCTTAGAAAGCAATTAAAGAAGGACCAAGCATGAGAAAGCAAAATAGAGGAAGTAGAGAACCACAGATGAACTTATGGCTGGAACGTGCAAGTGTGGAACATGGAACTGTAAATAGCCGCATCAAGACTTCTCATTAAAAAAAATTAGTAGTAATAAATAGGCAAAAGTGCAAAGGACGTGAGCTTGGGTAGTGTGCTTTTCGGGCATGGCACCGCTTTTGTGAGAAGCTTTTTTTCAAAAGCTTTTTCAAGCAAGCTTGTCCAACAAGTGTGGCCTTGCCCTTAGTGATTAAACTAAATAGCTATGCCATCGAGGAACAGGACGCTTCTTTCCTAAGAAGTTTCCGGTAAGAAGATTCCGCAGAATGAGAAACGGCTCAACCTAGCTAAGATAAATTGAATATTTATACAACAACTTACGCACTGAAATGAGAGTCGCAAATGAGGGCCAAAATTATTTTAGATACTTTTGAAGTAAGTACGTAAATACTCAAGAATGTATATTTTGTTTCGATTCGCTGTGGTTGACCGAGACTAATTTATAGAGTCGACATTTGCTTAATTGCCTTCCAATGGATACCTATACTAAACTATCTATATCTATTACGCTCACTCAACATAGAGAGTGAAAAAGCTATGACTACAAAACAAACCGTTTATATTAACGGTTATGGACTAGAACGCCTACCATTTAATAGACAATATTCTCATAGTAAGAACATGAAGATATTAATATTGAAATACATTTGTGCTTTGGACATTTAAAAATAAATCAATTTCAAAAATATAGGTGTCAGAGAAAAATTTAAGCCTAGTTACTGAATCCTTAAATTGGGTTATTTCCTTTTGTAGGTAGATTTCCTTTTGTGCTACACTTCATCCCATACTTAAATTCTATATTCCCACAATACCTCTCGAATTCCAAACTTATCCTCAAGTATATAGAGGTAAAGTATAACTTTACTGCTTAACTGTTCTGTACACTGTATATGAAAAAAAAACTATAAACCATGGTAAATCGAAATGAAATGTGGGCAGAAAGTAGTATTATTAATCTATCCAAAATAGTTGCATATCTGAGCCAAGATGATGAGGGAATTGCGTGGGGAACGAGCAAACTCTAACTTTCATACAAGTAAATTAATATTTGACAATAATAGAGAAAAAAACAGCTTTAAAATGATGGATAGTAAAGGCCAATAAACTAATTCGTTACTCTTGTAACCTAATTTATATGGTGTTGAAGGCTAAGCAGATCGTAAACAAAGGTGCCGGTCTTCTAGACAAATTCTTAATCGGAATCTCATTAACGGACCAACGGAATCAATATTCCTCTAAAAAAACAGATACTTATAAATCGTTGCTGCCGTCAACTCCTTTAGGGCTTTTATACCAGATTGATACTTCATGTATTGCACAATGACAATCCCAAGCAGCTGTCGCTGGCTTCTACCTACCGTATCACAAATGGGCAAGATTCAGAGTCGCTCCAAAGTAGCTGTCTTTGCGATAACGCTATAAAATTATTTAAACGATAAATGATTCGTAAGTCAAAACACATTACGAAAGACAAGTTACACTGATGTAAATACTAGTTTGAATAGATGCGAGCCCGCAGCGATCGGATATTCCAAAGTTAAAAACACAGACCAGACGCCCGCATATATGCGTTGTCTGGTCATCGGTTTCTTGTTTGACTGAAAAACGGCTTACATAGTTTAGCATCATGGAATCATAGGATCATTAACGAACCTGCCATGTTTAATCCCGCTGCCCTAAGATGTTTTTCTATCGTCTTTTAGGTTGACTTTAGTGCGAGGAAAAAGTAACGAAAGCAACTAATTTTTCTTTGGTCGCTTCCTATTGACCTCTTACTTACTTGGTGTTGTTGGTTGGTCAGCGTAAATGTTGCCGCCAAAATGAATCCTGTAATTAGGAGGTTCGATTCAAACAAGTTATCACTGATTCGAGCACTTAATGTAGCCGATTGTCGCTGGCCTCGCAGAGAAGCGGCGTTTGATTGCGCCAGGGCCTTCCAGCGGGCGCGCGGCCGCTCTCGCATGTTCGTACTTTCAAGCTCCGGCCAATGATCTCAAGAAGTTTGCTCTGCTTGTCGAAACGAACAATTACTTTGTCTTGCCTCCTCGAACTGTCGGCGACTTCTAGATTTCTGCTAGTAACGGCCTTTCCTTCGGTCAGGATATCTTTCATCTTTCCACGCCCAGCGGTAAGGCAAGAGTGTTGTGGATACCAAAGACTCCTCCCCTCAAATTTTTCATGAAAGAAGAAATCCTCGATCGAGTGTCACGACATCTCTACAAAAACAGCGATTCTCAAAACGCCTAAAAAATCTGAGGTGATGTTGAATTAACGATATCTTTAAACATAAGAACACTAATACGCTTGCAAGTAGCCATTACATAAAGTACATACTGCACGACTAGGGAAGGAAAGCCTCGTTCCGCCCACGTTGGGCAAGGGAAATCAGGGACCGCTCCCGAATATCAACTCCGTCCATGGCAAAGGACCCAGTCTACGAGTGGCATCGGCCGTCGTTGTGTCTTCTCATAGTTGTTGATCCCAGTATTGTTTGTCGTCGAATTGAACTACCTTCAGCTGTGCCTGTTGCTATTGCTGCGACTGCCACTGCTGTTCTCAGTGCAGGAGGAGAGCCATCGTTTCGAAAGCCGCACGGTGGCTTTCGTTCCGTCAATAGCAAAACGCTGGAGATTGTTCGCACAGACCCTCATGTAGTCCTAAAGCAGGGCCAAGCACAATGAACAGAAACTGGATAAATCCAGCTCTTTGTTTCCTACTGATGTCCCTGTATGTCAAAAGAACTGATTCCTTTGTGAGTTTCGCCTTAACTGACAGGACGATTACAATACTATACTTAGCTCATTTATATAATGTGAAGCGCATAGGAGTTCTGTTAGTTGTCAGATTGGTTTGATAGTGGAACGCTTTTGATTAGATAGCGTAACATTGTAGTAAGTGACGGACCGGCTGAGAGTAGATCGATTTAAGCAGTTTTTAGAAGAACGTTCCGTTAGTTATAAGTAATAGTATGGACAAGGATCATAGGAGCTGATGAGTAATGCGATACAAAAAAGTAGCGGTGCTTTAATAATGATATTGAGTAGAAACTGATTGACACTTGTTTTCTTCAGGTGTGCAAAGGATGCAATTATCCTCCATGCGTATGCATCGGCCAGCCGGGAGAACCGGTAAGAAAAGTGACATTTAGAAGTGATAAACGGTCCAAATCTAACACTGATTTGCAGGCTTAGCTATTTCTGAATACGGCTGGCTATGTCCTCCTGCACCACTGGTCATATTTGAAGACTGTACGTTATTTTGTTTGCAAATCTCATTGCAGTCTAAGGTATTTTGTTTTGTAATGACTAGTAAATCACAATAGGAGCGTAATACATTTTTAGTTCTTACCGTTGTAATATACATATTTTTTCTACGACGGGAACTACCTGATAAAAAAACGCCAACACAAGAGGCAACTTGAGCAGTGCTTCTTAATTATGGGTTATTACTGATTCGAATTCTGCTTCTGATCGCTTTATTAAAATGACTACTTATTCCCTAATATTATATACGGCGGAATTTCTGCCAGTTGAGCCCGTCAAAAGCTACATAAAACATTAAATATATAAGGTGACCGTAAAGAATTTGCAGACTGCACCAGTATTGCTTCTGTAGTTGTTATTATTGACAACGTTCAAAGCTTCTCGAGATCTTTATATCATGCCTCATAATGTTAGTACGATTGTTTTATGTCATGCTTTCGGATAGTAAATTATTACATTATGTGATCAAGTCAGAAAGGCACAATCGGTTGCGGCGTTAATTACGTACGATTCATAGTGGAGTTGGTTTGAGTACAGAAGCTTTCACGTCTATGAGTCCGATTTCTCTAAGCATGTCCTGTTAAGCTGAGAAATTAAGCTTCCACGTAAAGCTTTTTTTCATTTTTGGCGCTTTTGTTAGAACATGTCCTCGAAATCACCCTTTTGTGATCTAGGACTTGCCCCCCATACGTGCTCTAGTCGATGTAGGTTTTCCGGTAGACTATTTAGCAGGCATCCAAAAAGTGTGGTAACCATAGTCTATAGTAATCATTTGCTAACGATAAAATTTACTAATGGTCGCAGTTGATACCTATCATAGCAATGTAGACAACGCTGTAGCGTTGCAGTTTAACGCGAACTTTTTAGATAATAACGCCGAAATAAAAATGGGTAGTTTAGACTAAAATTGTACCATCATTAAAAGGAATCAAGTGTATTTTTCGTTGTTGATGTTTGTTCATTTACGTCGATTGTCAATTAGGGCTACCCTGGTCTTCCGGGAATGAAAGGTACCCGAGGTCCTGTAGGTCCGAAAGGCTTTCAAGGCGAACCAGGACAACGGGGTGAGCCCGGGGAGCCAGGCTATCACGCTCCTGACGGACCGAAAGGTGATCGAGTAAGTTTAATTCAATCCAGTTTTAGGCTTCTGTATTCTAACAAATAATGAGCTAAGCAAGTAATGGTAATATTTTTACTTCGCTTAGTACGTCACCTTAACACTGCATCCTTGCAAAGGTGGCTATGTATTTTTGAGAATTTATTTTACTTAGAATATCAGAAATTCTATGGTTAAATCAACTTCGATCTCCTGTGTACCGCATATCACCAGCAGCACGGACTACTTCTGTTTATGTGCTTACTGTAGTGTCTGTGACGATTAGTCTCCTTAGAAGGTTCTAGTCTCTTAGAAAAACGTGAAAATTATTTTTCACGTATCTTCGACAGATTTTAAACTCGCTATGGAAACATCAGCTAGCTTCGCTAAACTCTACAACAAACAAAGCTATTGAAGTTATGTTTTTCTCCGAAGGGCTTCTCTCGCATACCTGAAGCCTAAATTCGATAAATGTACATTAATAAATCAAAAACGGATTTCCGCCTTCAGTGTCCAAATGATGCTTCAGAGACTTTTCAAAACTTGGGTATTTTAAAGGGCTTTGACGGCGAACCGGGAATAGATGGATATACTGGACGACCGGGCTTTCCTGGGGTGCCTGGCCTGCCTGGATTGCGCGGTAAAGATGGATGTAACGGTACTAAGGGCGAACCGGGTTTTCCGGGCACGCCGGGGATGCCTGGGGAACCAGGTTTGCCTGGCTTAGACGGCCTGCCAGGGCTTAAAGGTCAGCCAGGTGACGGAGGTATCAATTCGGTCGGAGTTCGTGGAGACGATGGTGACGACGGTTTTCCAGGTATTCAAGTAAGTGCATTTTCGGACAGACAGTGTCTTTCAAGTGGAACATAGCAGAAAAGTATAGTTTAATTGAAAATCAAGCAGTGTCGCCTTCTTAATCGACAAAACTAATGAATACATCAAATACATTGTAGTGCGCATATATTATGTTGAAGCTATTAAAGAATAATAAAGCTAAATTTTTTGAAGAAATCGATCAATTTTTAATTAGTGTTTTACCTTTACTAAATAGAAGTGTGCAAGCATACATTTTGTGAATAGTGTATATATCACAAGCTTAAAGGTAACCGCTGAAACATCTAAAGATGAAGTATAATTCACTGTAACTATTTAGTTATGTTTAACCTAAAAAAAGTCACAGTTATCATTTTGCGAGAATATTTTTGTTGTGGCACAATTAAACCATTTGATTACTTCATATGCGTATGGTCAAATATTTGGCTATTGTTAGGGTGCTGATGGATATCCTGGTCGTCCGGGTTTACCAGGTCCTCGAGGCGATCCAGGTTACAGTGGTAAGTCGGGTCTTCCAGGCTATCCCGGTGACTCTGGAGCACCTGCCTTGATTCAGCTCATCGGCGATCGGGGAGAGCCTGGTTTTCCAGGTACGCATTTTCGTAAAATTTACAAAGTGCCCAAAGATGTCATGGAATATGTATCACAAGTCGACAGATAATATCGACAACTTCGAATATTCGATGAAAATTATATAAGGCAAGACAATTCCGAGTTTAGATAAGCGCGCCGCCGTGTATCGGAACCCTCGCGTTTGTCTCTATTCGTCCAATTTGTTTTAATACGTAGTCCTACTGTCATCCAATCCGTTGCACCCAACCCAATTCAAGTAACAAATACGTAACTAGCTTTGCCATTTTTACTCCCTTTAAGAATTGCTTGACGTGAAACTATTTATTATAAAATGGACAAAACATGGAATGAAAATTACAATAGAAATCGCGAAATAAGGATAAGCTGGAGCTACTTTGCTGAATGAAAAAATATTCTGAATTTCAGGCGAGCCGGGTCCTAAGGGCATTCTGTTTTATCGAAGCCCACTTATTAACGGGACCGATAGAAACGAGGGAATGAAGGGAGCACGAGGAAGTCACGGAGACCCTGGATATCCGGCTGCATTAGGACCTGTTGGACCACCAGGCCCAAACGTATGATATAGTTATCGAAAATCGTAGATATATGCGGACTATAAACTCGTTATTTGTAACTCGAGCTAAAATAATTTCTGTATCGAAGCAGTAAGGCTGTGCATCCTTAAATATAGATAAATATAGATAGATGTCAGTTCATAGCAAATATAGATTGATTTCTAGGAGTGCTAATTATTATCGACAGATCAAGTAAATTGAATGAGAAAAATTTATAGTTATTTCGTTAGAGATACGTAAAAACTTCCTATTCCTTCTTTACTTATATAATGTAAGTCCTCAACCTAAGACAAACTTGCCACGTGTTAGCGCAGGCTTTTGGTAGATTATTACAGGGGAAAGTGCTTTAAGATTTCTTGTTTCAAGCTGTTATTGTTAGTTAGAACCAAGTTATATGGCCCCATGCTTTTATTATATTAGCCTATGTGTACTTTGATACCTTCTAAATAATCTTATGTTTCTCCATTTAATACATTTCTTTAACAAAGCAATAGTAGTCCAGGCAAGAGATTCCGGACAAAATACACTACTTCGTTTTAAGGAGTGCAGGATTTATGTATATGGACCCTTGATTTTGATGGAAACCAGCCGCTCTGCGCACTTTTGACTGAGGATTGTTTTCATTTGGTGAAGCTAGGTATTCGCGGTTTACGTTTAGCCATATTTGGCTATTAAGTCTAGCGGGAGCTGTTCCGCTCGTTCAGCAGATTCACTACACAACCTATTTGGTTAGGTTAGGTTACTACAGTCAATATTCTGCAGCGGATCCTGTAGTCGATTCGCTTTAGCCTAGTAATCACACGTGAAAAAGCATGAGCTTTGTTTGACTTAAGAAGCTTTTTTCGTAGCTGACTCCTAGCTGCCTGCTCTGCGACATATCTAAGTATCGCTGCATCGTCATTATTTCAAAAATCTATTTGTGAAAGAGGTATAATACGTACATTCTGAGTAGATCGAGCAATTGAAGGGCTGTGACTAAGTTTATCATTGTTCCCAAAGCTCGGATTTTCACTGGAGGACCAAAGTCTGTATCTACGTCCAAACTCAAATACCAGCTGCGTCCCTCCAAGTAAACAAACACAATATAGCAGAATTATTTCCTGCAAAACAGATATGCCCCAGAGTTGATCACAGCCAACTCTTTTTCAAATAAATGCTTCCTAGCTCATGGGGGTACCTATATTTCAGCGTGAAAATAAATTACAAATCATTTCGACAAATACTCTAGGCTGCTTACAACCTCTTTTAATGAACGATCTGAATTTTCGTTCATAAGCCGTCTGATCGTCATTGGATTGGTCATAGGGAGTCGCTCGGGTTGTGCTCGGTCGTGAAGTTTAGGTTCCTTATCAAAGTGAACAAATTTACGACAAAACCCCTTGTTCTTTTGGAATATCCTTAGCGTAGCGCAGCGTTGGAATGGACCATGAGACACTTAGTATGTTACAATGAAAAGCTTTCTTTATGTAAAACTGATTTCCTGCCAACTCTGTCGCTTCGAACGATAGTTTTATATTCTGTTTATGTTTTTATCTATATGGTGTCTAGGACGTGATATCTACGCCTCTATTAGAGTAGCAACGAAGGCGTTACAGAGGTTATCTTGGAAGCGTAAACTGGTGTTTATTAGTGTTGAAAGTCTCTTTTTTGTAATGAACATCATTGCATGAATAAGCATAGATAAGCTCTTGCAAAAATGCAAGAGCTTATCTATGACTAAACTTATCGTAAACTTTTTAGGGAGCCGACGGACTCCCCGGCTATCGTGGACCACGCGGGTCTCCTGGAGAAGTCGGACCTATGGTACGTGCACGTTTTTAGGACTTTTAAACAAACAATGCGACATTCTTTAAGAACAAGATTAGCTCACATGAGTTTGTGTAATACGCATGATTTTTCTTCTGGTGGTTTTCAATTATGATGAATAAGTCTATTTATTCATTTTATAAAAAAAACACCTGCGGTTTATTCGCCGCTAGAGTAAGGTTGAAATGATTCCAGGAAAATCACCTTCATACGATTTTGCTAAGTTAGATTAGTTAGAATGAATTGTCTGACGTGAAAGAATGCGGTTATTTGCATCTTTATACGGTTGTGCTGCGTATATTTTATTTATGAGGGATCTAAACGATTCATCTAAAAGATTATGGTTCGGCAAGTGTAAATCTGATATTGAAGATTTACGTAAGTGCAGGCACGGCACTTAGAAAAGGAGTAAGAAACTACAGCCTGATTATAGGGTCCTATCGGTCCGGAGGGCCATCCCGGAAAATCAGGAAGTAAAGGCCAGCAAGGAGATCCTGGTTGGGACGGAACTGATGGCCAGCCGGGAGCAAAGGGCAGTCGAGGATATCCGGGTTACCCTGGTGTTCCCGGACAAATAGGGCTGCAGGTCAGTTATATATTAATAATTATTTGGCCTAACTTGAACCCTGTTTAGTGTTGCAATAATAATATCGAATTGATTTTCAGATATTTTACTATATTTTTTGAGATGCCTTTCTAAAATGCTTATCACTAAGAAACAGCTTTTTTAGACCACGTAGGGCCCCAGCGCTAGGGTCATGTTATAAAAAAATGCTAGCTAATCAATAGGTCGCAGTTGTGATAGGATTATGACAAATAGGATTTGAGGAATGTATCGATAGTGACACTTGTAGAGTAATAATATATGGTGTAATAAGTAAATAAATGGTCAGAAATATGCTAAAATGTTTTTTTTTTTAATTATAACGATAAGTGCTCCGTGATCTATCGTATACACTCCTATGATCATTGGCTTTTGTCAGTCTGTAAATTAATCTTTTTGTCTGTGAGATATTGAAATAATTTCCCAGTGATATTACCTATCAGTTTACACAGTACGTTCATAACATTAGAGCTACTTTTCGTTCAGTTGAAATTGGCTATAATAAATGATGAGGAACCACTGGACTGTGTATTCCTCAATTCTAAGTCCGTTTTTAAGGCTGTCACCCTCCCTGAAACCTTTCAAGACACTGGCTAAATCTGCTGTAAGGGACTAAATTAATTAAGGGGATAACGTCGTTTGAAAAATATCGCAAACTTCGCACACAACCAGTTTTTAGTTTGTGCTCATATTTTCAGGACACATTCGGCTGGCCTGATAGAATCATTTTCTCTCTTCTATGTACATTATATATCGACTTACTTAAGAATTCTATGCTTATTAATGTGTATGCTAAACGAATGTGCCTAGATCAGGCTGGAGCAACGTGTTTCTTTTACAGGGCTTTAAGGTATACAGTAAGCGGTGTAAACATTTACGCAAAACTACTGTGAAGCGCATTGTCAACGCCCCGTCGGTACACAAGCCGCAGACGTGCGACTATATGCAATATATTTTATATTTCTTTTATTGTAAAATAACGTGTGCAAATATGAGCACCAACTAACTGGTTATGAGTAAAAACTGGTTGTGTGTGAACCCTATAATATTATAATGGCTCGTATGTCCTTCTCGTTTAGGGTTTACCTGGCAACATTGTACGTGGTTTGGTTCCCATCCAAGGCCTTCCCGGAATACGTGGTGAACGCGGTGATCCTGGGCCGATAGGATACAGCGGTTTTAAGGGACGAGTTGGCCCTAGGGGTTTTCCAGGTACTCCCGGAAGGCCTGGGCCACCCGGATCGCTAGGCTCCGACGGTCGCCCGGGGCGTTCGTTGAAAGGTGGGTTTCATCAATGTATGTTATTGTATTATATTATACAAGCCCGAAAATGTTCAGAGGCATCACTATCGAAGATTCTGTGATTATCAACTTTTATTTTCAACCAATATTGCTTCCGAACAGGTGCAAAGTCATTTACTAAGTTTACTGTTGATGGTTTGGTAAGGACTGTTCGAAGTAAACTTTTAAAAAATGAAGGAGCTGTTGGTGTGATATGTTTGAACGGAACTCAGCTATGTTCAAAGTACAAACGCACTTTTTAGACAGATTTTATACTAATTAAACTTATGCGATACATATATAAGAACATACAATATATAAGACACGTCATTTGTGTCTGGAAAACACAATCGTGCTCTATAAACGTATGAACTCAAGATTTGAAAACGGACAAAAAAGAAGGATTAGACAAAGCTTCATCGTTATTACCGTCCCCTTTTTTTTTTTATCAATATCGCCGTCACCGTACTCGCTGAGACCTAGGAGTTGAAACCCTTCGAGTTACCGGGTTTCTACACCGCTGTTTCGTCATGAGTAGTAGATGGGTACAAGCTCTGTACAGCCACATGCTGCAGAAAGAAATCAGGAATCACACGTTTGCAGAGCACGATGTAGAAGTACTTAAAAGCAGTATGTGTAAAACCATAGTTGCACATGTCTGCCTTTGAAACAACGAGAACGTGACAAAACTGTTGGACAAAATCACTCGTGCGTCATGTATTTTTATTACTGGTTGTCCCGTTTACGCTGGCTAGTTATCTGAACACAGAAACAGACAAACTGAATGACCCCCAGACGCACAACGCGACTAAATTTCTTCAGTAACTTCAGGTGTCGTCGTCGTCGTCGTCGTCCCCCCTCAACAATAGCAACATGTCAACTTTGAGAGTTGTACGGAGAGATCGGTAATTAACATATTTGTATCCAGTTTGAGTGGTGGAAAAGTCCGATGCATTAGAGGGATCAATTCGTTAGACAAGCGACACGCTCTAAGATAGCACGTACTGGTTGGCGTCAAGTTGCCCCTCTAGTGGAAAAAGAACTCCATAAAAAATAAACTATACGGTACCCAAGATGCTAAATCAGACCAGACAAGGCTCCAAAATGACAACTTCTCTCTCACACGGATATCGACTGCTGTGACGGAGCCTTGACTAAAGTTCTAAAGTCATTCATAAGTCACCCCAAACCGCGGCGACAACGCCCGTGGTTTGATACAAATTGTAACCCATCTGTTGCCGCACTGTGTCAGACGCGGCAATCGATCAAGCATCAGCCAGCTATAGAGCTGTGCTGTGACTTTCTACAACACTGGTATTTGCGAAAAGTTCTCGCTGTGCAATCCTGTTACATAAGTGAAGCTGGATTGTGTATCAACATGTACAAGACAAAGGCTAACAAGTTTTGCCGTGAGAAACGCTGCTTTCGATACGCTTCGCACAGACAGAACGACTTTGAAGTACGTGAATAACTTCAGCTGGCTGTGGGTAATCTTGCCCACGAAAGACCGAATTTCTGTAGGGCTCATCACAAACAGTGCACCAAGCAATGATTGCAAATGAATATGGTCGCCTTCGAGACTTTTTTGTGCATGGCGCATGACTTTATTCGAAATAAAGGTGGCCTGATTGTTTCCTGCTGAAATCAGTTTGTCTCAGAACATCTCTTGTCAGAGTAGCTCGAAGGACATGACCGAATTGAAACTTGTTCTTAAATCTCACTATCAAGCTCTGTCGTCCTTCGTTGAATATATAGTGCGCCTCATAGGCTACACACCGATCTGAAACCTATATTTAAGTTCTGGACTTCCCCTGCCTGTTCAAAATTCGTCAGCGAATGAGAGAATAATGGCAAAGGTCGGTTCTCTTCTTCGTAATAGGGGAGCTCTGATTAATGAAGTATGGAAAGGGCGAAATGGAACCAACTTACACATAGTTAAACGTCTTGCAATACGTGGGCTTCATCACAACATATTTTGGACTGTGGATTTTACAATTAGGAGTTACGTGTATCTGTGCAAGACGTAATGCTCCAGGTAACATACGGCCTCATGCACTGCAGTACCATTGCGGACCAGTTGTTCCAGTTGGACACGCCGGTTCCCAAATTTTAGATTTTACAGTATTGAGCGACGCAAACCTTATTTGTTTACAACGTCTCATAAAACAAATGTGATATTCTAATTTTAGTAATTTCTACTAGATCTGATTTATATATCTCTGAATCCATATATAAATACGCATAAATAAATATACATACAATTATTTTGCAGATTATATTATAATTATAATAAATATAAATATTATAATAAGTGAGTACACGTTGGCTTAGGTTTCTAAACATGAGTCACTTTAATTTCTGCGAAAGATGTAATTGATTAGTTAGTGGCACATAGAAATGTATGCACTAACATTTGCGCTGTGTAACTTTCGCAAATTGATTACAAAAGTAACAAAACTCATTCTAGAACATAGTAGAACAAGAAAATTGGGCCGTTAGATTGAATCATTGGCTAATGCATTGCAGGAGAACAGGGCGACCCCGGTATAAGTGGTCCACCTGGTGAGGTGGGTAGACCAGGTCCACCAGGATACCCTGGCTTACCAGGAGAGCCCGGAAGACCCGGTAAAGACGCTTACGGACCTCCAGGTGAACCGGGTATTGATGGAGCGCCTGGTATTCCCGGTAAACCCGGCTTACCAGGTGAAGACGGTGCGCCTGGTGAAAAAGGACGACCAGGCATAGGGGCTCCGGCTACTGGACTACAGGGAGCACCTGGACTCCCGGGTCCACCAGGACTTCCCGGAGACGACGGGAGTCCTGGACGACGCGGTGTTGATGGAATGCCTGGTTATCCTGGCGATGACTGCCCATTCTGCCCGAGCGGACTTTCGGGTATCGAAGGTGATCCTGGGGATCCCGGTTTCCCTGGATATATTGGCGTGCCTGGCGAACCTGGGCCTCCTGGCACACCGGGACTTCGTGGTGGCGACGGCCTGCCTGGTATACCTGGGGACAAAGGGGCCCCGGTAAGCTCACATTGCATCTGACCTACACGCATATAATTATGATTTTAGAGACAATTATCACAAACTAAGTAAATTTTAATATCTACTCTCGCTCAACCTAGGTCTTGAAATATTGTTGCAATTCTAAACGTCCCTTTAAATTATTTGAAACATGTAGTAGAGTTTTTGCGTTTCTATGCGTTTAATCGGTTCTTTTTTAATAATTGTTTTAGGGAATCCCGGGTCTCCCGGGACAAGACGGCCAGAAGGGAGAACGAGGTGATTCGGGCAAACTCATTCTTCAAGGAGATTTTCGGGAGCAGATAGGAGAACCAGGTCTTCCTGGTCCACAAGGTCGCAAGGGCGAGATGGGCTTTCCGGGTGCTCCGGGCAAACCGGGTCGTATAGGGGCTGAGGGACGACCAGGAAATCCCGTAAGTCGTGTTGCAATAAGCATTAAATAATAATTTAGGCACAAATGCTAAGGTAGCTTGAGTTTCCTAAAATCAAATAAAAGGTTTTTGCTTGCTATTGCTAATAATAATATTATTATTATTATATTATTATAGGCTTACTAGCGGTCTGCGTGGTTTGTCATTGGCAAAATAACAATAGTGGGTTAATACTCTCGTAAATAAACACAAGTTTTCTTATTACCACATACTGAATCAATAACACTGTATAGTGCGCAATCGCGTTTAAATCAAAATGCGTCTATTACGTTTCTTACTGAAAATACGCCAACGGTTGTCCTTTTTTGTCAGGGTGTTCAAGGATATCAAGGAACTCCCGGTCTTACGGGCTATAAAGGCATTAAGGGTGCACTTGGAGACAGAGGATTTCCTGGGATGGGCTTTGCTGGATTGCCAGGTGCCATTGGGCCCCGGGGAAATCGCGGACCCCCAGGAATTCAAGGTATGCCGGGCCAAAAGGGTGAACCAGCTAAAAGAGACATTGATATAGCACAAAATATCACGCGCTCACATGGTGACAAAGGTTTGCTCGGACCAACTGGAGAAACAGGAGCCATGGGTGTGCCAGGCCTCCCAGGTGAAACAGGTAAGGATGGGAGACCTGGTCCTCCCGGTATGAGAGGTCCGCCCGGGCCACCTGGTTCATCGCCTATAGGAGAACCTGGTGATCCAGGCGCGCCTGGATATCCAGGCTATCCTGGGTATCCTGGTCCAATTGGAGAGAAAGGTTTACAAGGCGAGCCCGGTGATATAGGTTATCCCGGTCCACCGGGACCGAAGGGACAGCCAGGTTTCATAGACGGAACAGGTACCCCGGGGGACCCTGGTGAGCCGGGTCATCAAGGTTGGCCAGGTGAACCCGGCCACTCGGGACCTGATGGTCCGCCGGGTCCTGCAGGCTTCCGCGGAATGCCAGGTTATCAAGGAAAGCCCGGCGATATAGGGTAAGTTTCTTGCAAATTATGTTTCGCAGTTTTTTTCTAAGCATTCATTTTATTTTTGTCATTGACATGGTAACGGAATGGATAAAGGGGAAAAGAGCAATCAAGGGATCTAATGGCCCATCCTTAACTGACACAAGTAAGGTGTTTCAAAATACTTGAATTCTTCATTTCTCCGAGCAGTTAAGTCTCATCAGGGCTTAAACCTTTTGAATCCATTATAATCTATAATATGTACATTGAAAATATTGCCCTTTTGGAGGCCTATTGCCTAGACATGCCAGCTTTTACAAGACAAAAACTCAAAAATTCTTTTAAAGATTGCGCGTACTTTGATGTTTGAAAATGGTTTGTTGATCTCTAATCAGGCTACATAACTTAAGCAATCTAATCAGTACCTCTATATCACTATGGCACAGTTTTCCGCACGTCACTTCGCGTATTATAGTGTATAGTTTGAAGATAAGCTGCGTAAGTACCTGAAGATGTAAATTCCTTGTCTCTGCTAGTTTCGATGGTCGGCCCGGATTACCGGGTATTCCTGGCGATGCTGGTTTCGGTACTAAAGGTGAAATGGGAGAGGTGGGTTACGACGGGACACGTGGAGCACCCGGCCTTCCAGGAATGCCAGGTGCAACTGGATGGCCTGGTCTTAAGGGTTTGCCTGGTGATATCGGCTACCCGGGCCTCGTTGGCCTTGCAGGAGAACGTGGTCTACCAGGATTAGACGGACTGCCCGGGCTTCCCGGTTACCCTGGATACATCGGAGACGTGGGGGAACCTGGTAAAGTATCCAAAACAGATACTAATAACATCATATTCAGCTATGCTTTTAAATAACACTAATGTTGTCTAAAAATAACGGAAAGAGAAAAAAGTACAAATGGCTTCCGATAATTTTTCGGTACAATAGTTATATTTCGCAGTATATTTTTTACATTAGTGTACGTCCAAATAACCTTTGAATAAGTGTACCTAATGCGTCTTTCCCAACAGACAAATACATATATGCATGTCCGTGTTGTGTACAAATAAATCACATTCACCTATCGTTTATTACAGGCGATGATGGGCTGGAAGGATTGGAGGGTGCGCCCGGTTGGCCAGGACCGCAGGGCTATGAGGGTTCTCCAGGTCTGCCAGGCGAACCAGGTGAACCCGGTCGCGTCGGAGTGACTGGGCCTGAGGGAATTAAAGGCGATAAGGGCTTAATCGGCGATCCCGGTTTTGACGGGCTTCCGGGTATGCATTCTCTGAGTCAGAACAGTAGATATCATGGTACTAGTTCTATCTTTATAATAATACGGACAATAGTATCTAAAAATGTGACGCGGGTTCCGCCTTGCTGGTGATACGAACTGTATTTAAAAAAAATACCTATAAAACGAAAAAATAATAATGACTTCTTAATGATGTTTTAATAAAGTTTTTACCAAAGAAAAATATTTGCGGGGTCAATAATACAAAACAAAGACTTGTTAGCACTATCCCTGAAACCACAATTTACACAAACTAACAAATGATTTCGCATATTGCCCTACATTACAATACGTTCCATCGAAATGTATGTGGATGGTAAACAAACCCAAGTAAATTATTAGAAGCGTGACATTTTTCCATTTACTTACTACTTAGTACTTGTTGAATCAATCGTATCTCATTTTTGCAGGCCCACCTGGCGATGACGGTCGGCTTGGAGACATGGGTGACGATGGCGAGATTGGGATACCAGGATTTGATGGAAATTCCGGCTCTGATGGGCTACCAGGTCCATACGGTGAAAAAGGCGAGCCTGGAGACATGGGTGACCGTTTTGGGGCTCCACCCGGTGCTCCTGGACCCCCTGGTGCTCCTGGGAATAGCGGAGTACCCGGTCTTCAGGGCAAGCAAGGCATGCCTGGTTACAGTGGGCCACCTGGACACCCCGGTTTTCAAGGTCCCCTGGGAGAAAAAGGCATTAGAGGTTATGCTGGATATGTGGGTACAATAGGATTCCCTGGTGAAGATGGCCTCATTGGTGAAGTTGGACTCCCTGGCGAAGATGGCGATCCTGTATGTTGTGATATTTAAGAAAATATATTTAGACAACTATTTTTAGTATACATATGCCACTTCGCACAGAAAAAAGACATCGTGAAAGAAATAGTTTTTTTTTTGTTTTATATTACATGTGTCTGATGGTCCATTTTGGGTCCACAAAAATTAGACGTGCCGAATCCTGGTTTCTTACCAATTCCTGAGGAATAGCTTATGAGTTAATCTACGCGCTCAAAAAAACATTAACTAGATTTCAATAATACGTAGTGTTCAAGGCTGTGTACATTCCATGACTGATAAAGGTTTGCACAGATGCTTGTAGTTTGTCTCATTTTTCCTTTTTGTGCTAATTTAAAGGGACGTCCAGGAGTCCCAGGTTTAAGTGGTCCCTTAGGTACTCCAGGCCCGCGTGGATTTCCGGGTCCGCCTGGCCCTAAGGGCTCTACTGGTTATGATGGCATTCCCGGAAGCCCTGGTTCTGGAGGCCTTCCTGGTCTCCCTGGGAATCCAGGACTGCCAGGTCTCCATGGTGTTAAGGGTCTGCCGGGTTTGGAAGGCATGAAGGGAGAGCCAGGCGAAGATGGTCTTTTGGGTAGGCACGGAAGCCCCGGAATTCCTGGTCAGCCCGGCCGTAAAGGCATGGCCGGACCACCTGGCTTTAGAGGAAGAGCTGGTCCTCCAGGCCTGCCCGGTCCCGACGGAGTTATTCAAGGATGTGAGTCCAACATTATTACAAGATTTTTAGCAAGATTAATACGGGCTTTATTGTCGTTAAAAACATTTGCTAACGATGGATTGCAGGTTCGAGTTTTTTGAGCATTTTCCAAAAAATAGTGTCTTGAAATTCAGTTCGTTGCAATAATTTCGACGGTGTTTCCTGCGTACGATGCTTATAGAAATCAATAATGTTCGTTTAGAATATATAACGTTTGAGAGCTTCCGTTCCAGCCGAAATTTCATCACTAAATGTCAGCTGCTCACACAACTATATTACACATATAGGGTTAGAGTTTAGAATCGCTTCGCCTCTTTTACTGAATGGTAATCTGTGCTGTTATAAAAATATATTGAGAAGTTGGTAGCTTATAATGAACTAGGTGAAAATGAAGGGCCGCAGGGCATGCTAAAGCACCAGCTAACTATTTATGGTCAGTGATTTGGCTTTAAAAAAAGCTGTAGAGTTAATGGCCGTATATCACGCGGCCTCTTCAAGTAAATTCACGCCTTTTGCCGCATGCTCGCCTAGCCACATCGTACGACTTAAATTGCTTTAGTCTAGAAACAACGCAGAATGCGGAGCCAAGACATGTCAGAGTCTCCTCAGCCAAATTTTTGGAAACGTTGAAAAAAATTCCCGCGCATTTTTAAACCTATTTCCAATGTCTTTCCATTTCCACTTCCAATGGATAACTCTATCAACGTGGTGCTGTAATGGTGTGTGCTGTAACAGTGTGGTAGACTCAACTCGAAAGAACTGTCTCAAAGGGGATGAGCCGTGAGGAAAGAGTGCATTCTCGACGACGCCATCTGTACGATGCGTTTCGTCGAGCCCAAAAAGCTGCTAAAACAATTCGGGTCACTTGCCTTGTGCACGTGCTTAATAGTAGTTTACCGATTTTGGGACTCAGAGATCCCTCCCCGCTCTGGCTGAGTATCCAACTCTGACGACAGCTATCTGAAGATACTTTTGAAGAAGTCGCACGGGAAACAACTCAGAAATTGAAAAGATAGGCTACAGTCAGACGACTGTCGTCTATCACCTTAAATGCATTTACGCAGAAACGTAGATATAAACTCCCTTAATCCAACAAGAAATTACAGCTTAACGCTCTATCTCAGGATCATGCCCAATATAGAGCGTTATGCGGCCCTAATTTAGACGGATTTCACACAGAATTGCCACTAGTAATGAGAATATGAACCAAAGATTGGAATATATGGCTTTAGAAAAGGAAAGTCAAGGCTCAGGATCAAGCCAGATTTTCGTCGAAAAAAAATTATGCTTTGTATGTGGTAGGACTGCTTGTGTTACGAACCAGACAGTTGATCAGCACAGTTGTGACGAGTGGTCAGGTCAAGAGAGTCCTTTTGCTTCATGATAACGCAAAGTCACGTACGGGGGAGACCTTGTTTAAGATGCATTCTTAAACTACTAATGAGAGCTTTTGCTTCACTCTGAATATTTTCCAAAGCTTACGCCGACACCGGATTTCTTTTTTTAAAATCTCATTAAGCGCATCAAAGGTATCAGTGCAGCACTTTTTAAAGAAGAATACCGCTGACAGCTTTTCCAGCTAATTGTATCGAAAGGCAACGCGGATTTTACAGTTGTACCTATGAAGCAAAGGTTGAAAGTGCCTTGGCTATGTGTTAGTACTTTGCAATTGTAATAATGGTAATAAGGTGATATAAGGGAATCGTCCTTGCGACTAATGGCGCTGTCACGTTGTTTCATTAATGTGTCACGCACCCAGCAGCTCCGGATTTTTGAACTTATTTTGTGTTCCTACTTCTGCCTACCTGTACATGTTTACGTGTCTTTTGCACCATACCTAACAGCTTGTAATCACTTTTCAGCCACGGAGAAAGGTCAGAAAGGTGATTCTGGGTACCCCGGTGAGCCCGGGTACGAGGGTAGTATTGGACCGAAAGGAGATCCAGGAAATTCTGGTAAGGATGGACTGAGAGGCCTACCTGGTCCGCCTGGCTTTGGACTCGGTCCCCGAGGTCTAGACGGACTTCCTGGGCATAAAGGTCAGAAAGGCTATCCTGGTCTACCAGGTTTACAAGGTGAGCCAGGACGTCATGGAATGCGTGGCTTGAAAGGTCGCGATGGGGTACCGGGTCCACCCGGTTACAGCTTGCGTGGAGAGCCAGGACCCCTAGGAGAGCGTGGAGCCGACGGGCCTCAAGGTTTTCCAGGTCAATTAGGGGACCCAGGTTACCCAGGGGCTCCAGGTTCCGATGGTCAGGTTGGTCAGAAGGGAGACACAGGCGATCCAGGTACCCAAGGAATGACAGGACTTGACGGACCCATGGGCGAACCAGGGCCCCCTGGGGACTTATTTTTTGAAGTGAGTCCGCCGGGTCCACCGGGTCCTCGCGGGCTTGATGGATATCCTGGTTACCCAGGAATGCGAGGATTGCCTGGAATACCTGGATTCAAAGGAGATCCCGGGGAGTACGGCGATGCTGCAAGCCCTGGTCCTCCAGGCTATCCAGGATTAGAAGGGGCTGTAGGAGACGTTGGACCTCCAGGTGAGTTTGTAGAGCTCACTACACAGTGATGTCTATATCTACATTTATTTACGCATCATAATACGCGTTCTTCGCTATCTAGCGACTAGAGTTAAAGGCAGCTAGAATTTCGGATAATTTCGAATCTGGCCTTTCGAAAGCTCTGAAGCTTGCTTGTAACACAGTCGAAAGTTCAGCTGCTGCAAATACTGGAGATAATTCTTTTGTTAAAGCTAAACGATTGTCGGATGAAGTCACAAGACGTGCGAGAGCTCACGCATAGATGTCCCTTATTTTGATGAAAAAAAAAAATCTGTTCGTTGTTAAATACAAATATACGCGTTCCTTTTTAAGTTAAGTCTCGCAGAATTAAGAGTTTCAGCTCAGAGATTCAATACATATCGAGTAGTAGTATTAACGTTGAAGCTACTGCCTAATTGCATTTTCTATGTACTATACACATCCTCTGCTGACAAAGCGTCTGTCATATTTAATTGTATTTATACACAGAGGATTACCATTATCTTAGAATTCCATACCTAGATAACATATATCTATATATGGTTGTCGAAAAAGTATTTTCCGTTGTTAAGCCAAACTCGAAGCAAACGTAATAATGTCAGATCCGAATTCTACAGTGGATACATTAAAAATTCTCGTACAATGTTTGCTTGGTGATTAACGATGTATGTGGAGTACGGACCAGGTGAATTGTTTTCTACAATTTGTAGTAATATTCTTAATCGTTGACAGCAGAAATCCGGATCACTCGTTCCGTCAGGCGCTAGTAACTCATGGACCACGATTCCTTTCCAGTCCTAGCAAACACATAGGATCGACACTTTTTTTGGCGACAATCTGGACTTCGTCACAAATTGTAGAGCATATTTATTTTGCACATTACTGTCATATGTGATTCACACACGTGTGACACACGTGTCGCCCAAATATCGGGTTCTTGTTGTAACCAGTTTTCTTTATAATGTTTAAACCTGTTTGGTGGCTAATGCCTGCTTACCTAGCGAGATCATGATCACTTACGTGTATTCAACTTTCGTAATAATTTGACAAACCATGATAGGTCTACCACCACCAAGAAAACTTCTCACGGATTACCAGAACGAAAGCCACCGAATTTCTATACCATTTCTTCAGATAAGGCAACACATTTTTTAATAATAAATCGTCATATATGGCAATTTTTTTCCAGAAATGTCACTCTAAAAATGAGTGAGTAGGGCACTTTAAGAATAAGTGCCCTACTTTAAATAACTGCACTCTGACAATTTTAACTCACTTACTGCTGTTGAATTTTAGCCTTCAAATGACACTAATGCCAACCTGACGCCACTCGTATTACTTACTCGAGATCTGTAATTCGAAAACTATCTAGCTAGAAAAACGGTATATGATTTTTCGACAACTCGATAATTTCTTTTCCATAGGTTACCCCGGCAGTCCAGGTATGCCCGGGCCGCCCGGTCCCCCCGGGTTAGACGGCGGCGGAGGTACATTACATCGGCGAAAGTATACTATTTTCACAGTGCACAGTCAAAGCACGAGCGTGCCTGATTGCCCCGTTAATGCTTCAAAGCTTTGGGATGGCTATTCGTTTCTGTACATATTAGCTGATCGTCGCGCACACGGCCAAGACCTTGGTGAGTAGGGGTTCCTCTTCTGCCCAGCCTGTCCCCATCATAATATGCCGCGCAGCTTCGTACACAACAAACCCCTGAGAAGTATAGTACTAGACTAGATGTACTGCCTATAGATCGCCTGTAGTGTTGCAATTCAACGGGTTCTGTCTAGCAGACGAAACTATTTTACGCACAGCCTACAATTCGTAATTCGCGTAACACCGAAAAACATCTTTAAGGCGTTGAGCAACGGTCGGTGCGTAAATTAGTGCCAAAGATGTGTCATTGCAAACACAAAATAGTTTACCTGGACCATTAGTTGCCAGCAGAATATTGTGTTTTACTAACGTGGTGGACAACTGGATTGAAGGTAATAATAGAATATTCGATGGCTTTGGCACGCATAGGTCTAGACTTCACCTCGAGCAACTGTGTCATCGTGACGTAAGACCTGTTTGATTGGGTTTCCAGGTGAACCGGGATCATGTCTACCTAATTTTAGCCCAATGCCGTACCTATTTTGTGAACAACCGCAAAATGAAGATGAAAATTGCCGATTCGCAGCCCGTAACGATTATTCGTATTGGCTAAACACAGATCTACAACATGAGGGTCGTGAAGCCATTCGGGGTAATCGCATAAAGGAATTCATTTCGCGGTGCGCTGTGTGTCAAACGGATAAACCAGTGATTGCAGTACACAGTCAGAGCATAGAAATCCCGGCTTGCCCCCGTGATTGGGAGACAATGTGGATCGGATATAGTTTTGCTATGGTTAGTTGATTTATATAGGTTATTAACTAGCTATCACCTCGCAACATTACACATTTCTGAGTGTAATATTCTCTCTATGTTTATATCTTATCTAATTTACAGAAGTTCGAAAACAATCATCAACCCAATTACTTTTCTGTCAGAAGTTTAACTAATTTAATGTAACTAACTAATGTAATTTGCAATAATAGGGACATACGATTTCTTCTGCCGCGATTAACAACCGTATGTTATTTGATTTTGAATTATTTTTTAACCTAAACTTAGACAACGGACGCTGCAGCTCAGGGTAGTTCACAATCTCTAGCAAGTCCCGGTTCGTGTCTGCCTGACTTCCGTCCGACGCCGTTCATCGAATGCAGGGGCATCGGCACCTGTGATTACTTCCCCTCTGCGTTTAGCTTCTGGTTGACTACAATCGAGAACGATAAACAGTTTGAGGTGAGTGCGCTTAGGCTTACGTATTAGAGGGTTGTCACCAAAATTATACGCAGCCTACAGCAAATTCAGTAAGTATCCGTTATTCTGGATTAACATCATATGTCTACCCGCCCATATGTTAGACAAGAATACCGATTCTGTCGATACCTATGGTAAGTTTCTTAGCAACCACCTAACCTAACCTATACTCAAGAAAAGTTAACATGGATAGACTTGAGGTAAGAAAAAGCCAAGCTAATAAGATGAGGGCTAATTTAAAAAATGTGACACGAACCTTGCCTTTCAATAGTGTTTATAGGTTAGACAAATATTTAAGGAAGCGACGATTCAGAAGGAAGTTTGGAGGAAAAGGTGATTGCTGAAATTTTCGAATTTTTTTTTGTTTGTATACCAACGACCATTTTTCATGGTAACGGATCAAGCTGTGTGTTTGAATAAGCTTTCGCCGAAGACAAATAAATCGTCTATTTGCAGAGCCTCCTAATCGCGCCGGTAAACCAATCATTACAAGCATCACAACTATTGTCCTTGAGACAAAGCTAAAATGATGTTCTATTCTCCTTTACCTATTAGGCGAAATACTTCTATATGGAAATTGCTAACACAATATGTCCTAATATTTCATTATAGCGACCCGGATACCTGAAAGGTCCACTAGTCGTCGGCACTTTAGACATACATATGTGTGTTTTATGCATGGTGACGAGTCCCTTGGCCGGGATGAAATTGTACTTCAGGTATTTTTCTTAACTTGTTTCAAATCCCTTTTAGACACCTGAACGGGTCCGCAGTAGACCAGGGGATGTGGAACGACTAGTATCACGCTGCTCGGTCTGTAAGCGACGCAGTGTTACGTTCCGCGCGAATGGCAACAGGCTTCCACCGGCGCCATCAATCCAACAACAACCTCCGTCCTTTTTATTCGAGTGACCTATCGCAAGCTAAATCGATAAGGTTTCTATTTTAACTTCATCATAGAAACGTGCAAATCAGTGAACGGCGAGAAAGCTAGCATTATATTTACATAACATATTATTCATGAACTGTTATGTCCTGTAAAACTATGCTAAACGTACTGTCAAAATAAATAATTATATAGTAATATTTTGTATGTTGATAGAAATACCATGGGATAGGTAGTCATAATAAGAGAACATTTTAGCGGATGTATCAGACGCATGACCATACCTGTATAAGCGTTAAATATAAACATGCTGTGGACCCTCGAGTTTACTCGAGAAGCCCAACTATATTAAGCCCAATTGAGTTGTATGTATGTCGCATATATATATATGTCTGGAGTTTTTATTTAGAGCAAAAGACCTATCTATAATAACTTCCGATTAAAGACTACAAGATGTGTGAAGCATGACATTATTGTATGAATACAGAATTCCGAGATAACTGGTCCAGGTTTAATACTATGTCCTAGATTCAAAATTGATTTTTTAGGTTTCACCCGTCGCAGATGAAATCATTATAGACATAAATATGAAAGTCCGTACGTAAAAGATGGTACGGCAGTGGAAAGAAGAACACTGATTTACGTTATTTTAAATTTTATTAAAATGATATCAATATAACACTACGTACCGTCGTGTTATATCATTTACATGAAACGAAAGTGAAAATTATTATTTTACATATAACTAGTAGACGAGAAATAACTACAACAAGAGCTTGGTCAGGACGCTTTTATTGAAAAACACCTGGAAAGATCAGTAAGTCGGCAGTTTTTATCCGACATTTAAAGTTGAACTTAAATAGGATACAGTAATCTCCACTGCAAAACCGGCTTCTTCAGCACTAACATTTCTCCCCAGTGCGTGAGACGTCCATTTGAAAACATCATCCAGGGCCCTGAGATACAGCATGCATTACGGTTTCCAGTTCTGCGTAGTTTACGGTTCCCAGGTAACAGCGAAATAACTACTGAGCTCGAACTTATAAACTGTTCAGGCAAAAGGAACTTAAACGATTGATTGTAGATCGGCCCACAGCCCATGACGCGGCCCTTCTTTATCTACAATGAGAGATAGAATGCAACAAGTCGTGTTTGGTCCATTAAGTTTACAAGTCACTTGGGAAATTTAGGCGGATCATTAGTACGTGGGGGGGAAATACGAAATCATAGATTTTTGCAAATATGGTCGCATGAGAATTCAATGAACATAATTACCTAAAACTTAACACAACTATTTCTCATCGCGTTATAATGATACAACAAATAACTACTGGCTTGACTTGATAACAACGCAATATGTGCCGTTGCGTTCAGTCATACTGCTCTTCAGCAACCCACGCCCACCTATTTACGGATGGTTATATATTTCGTGCGGCACTTTTACCGTCGTCATATTTATAGATGGTCTATTGCGGATGTTGACTGGGCATTCTTTTTCAGTATTATCCCACTTATCCTAGGATCTTCTACATGTTTCGTTACATTTCCGCTTGTTTGAATAGCTGATTTAAACAGAAAGGTTCTCGCTTGGGACCTAATAGCTCCAACGCAATTAGCACCTGTGCTATCTAAAAAAATCGAAATATAGCTAAAACTGTAGAAGGCATTTGATGTATAGTGTAACCCAATTAGTGGGAGTAGCGGACGATCTATGATTATGATAAAAAAAAAAGGCAAAAATTGGAAAAACAAGCAAAGTATCTCTGTTAGAATATTAGTAAAAGTAGTGTTCTTTTAATAAAGTACTGGACGACTATAATGAATTAATAGCTTTTAAGAAAAATCCCTTTTTTCTTTCAAGTTCATGCAATATGTGCTCGAATGAGAACTAAAGTGAAGAACGGGTTTGCCGCCAGGAATCGCTCCTTAAAGTGTTAAATCTTAGATTCATGAAGCTCTTACCTTTTGTCCGTTGCAACGTAACGTGATTTTTATTATCGACTCTGGTAGACCCTTCGTTCTAACGATCGCAACTGTTAGTAAGTTGGCATTCTCGTAACTCATAGACAAAAGCAGTTGACCCGTTGGAGTGGTTACCTTTTTGGATTTTTAAACCTCGTCATTATGGACATACACATAGTTATATTTGACCCGTGAGAGGACAGTTTATATATGACGAATACAATATATTACATATTCATTAAAAAAAAACAACTTGCTGCTAGCGCTGAAGTTCTTAAAGTTATAGCAGTTATCAAGAACATGTTTATTAAGATTCCCTATCGTGAAAATAGTGTTCAGCAGTACAGGCCACAAACAAGTTGAACTGGTGCTTCTACTTACAGGAGCTTGTGTCAAAAAACAGGTGTGAAGGGTTTCGCCCTCGTTCGTATTTCTTCCCTCCGTAACGCGTTTAAAGGCCACTTGACAGTAACCCAAAACGTGTGTTTGGTCTAACGGGCGTTCCTTACCACTGTCTTCAAAAACAGCTATCTGAAGAGAGTCAATATATATATATATATATATAGAGAAGAGTTACAAGTGGTACGATGAACGATAATTTTGCTTCGGTATGCGTTTATTGGCGTTGAATCCGTGCATATGCCTTGGTGTGATCGATAGCTGCCATGCTAAGCTATACTATAATGGTATCAAAACGCATGTATACGCGTATCGCTCATACGCGTATTATCAGCGACGTTTTGCTGTCAGCGTAAGTTTCCTCTAAAGATATTTTACGATATCGGTCTTATCGGTCAATTTGTTTGTAGATGTGGTGAAGATAACTGTATACGTACGTGTAATGAATCACCTGCTGACCCTAAAAAATGGAGTTCTTCGTTCAGACTTGTAGTGGCATCTTGTTCATTAACTCGAACGGCGCGGCATTTCTTGCTGCACTTTCCAACGGTCACTCGAGCCGTTATCCAATAGCTTCGTGATCGGGTCAGACCTTTGTCGGGTAGCCCTCGAATATCGCAAAATCGCAGGCATATCCTGTCATTGAAAAATGTTATTATCAGACTATTATTCATTACTACATAGGGAGATCGTTCAAGCAAAAGAAATCGTTGATTACTATGGTACACACGATGACGCTCCTCTAGTGAGGCATACCAGCTTTTGATGAAGATACGCCACTGCCTCGTTCATAAGCTCTTGCTCATTGCTTAATTAAACATGTCAAGTCTTACATGCAGCACTGCTCTTAAATATTGCTTCACTCATTAGCTAGGCGTTTGCAACGTATCTGGTGTAGTTTACGGAGGACCCTCCATATACTAGAACTTGCTTTCTAACTCTACGGCCAGTACACTTCCGTTGACACTGTAAAACTCAATTTCCTTTAATATCGAGCTAATCAATTCATCTTCTAAAAGGAGAAAGTCATGGGAAATATAACATGCATCGAGTCAATATGGAAACATACGGAGCTTTGTGGATACGTAAAAGTTATTTAATGCAGGAAGTCGAGCGACATGGTTAACTAAAATATGATACATGGGCCCTTGCATCTACGAACGCACTGTTTGTCATCGTGGGCTTTCGTTGTTAGGACAAGCGTTCCATGAGAAGCCCCAACTTCTTCCCGTTTGACTCGATCCCCAAGGAAAGGTGGCCCGTCGAGTGTAAATCCGTCGTTCTCCTCAAGAGAGTCGGCGTAAAGTTCGGGCTGGATTTGCGTTGATGAAGCTGCTGATGTGGAACGGAGTTTAAATAAACCCTCTTCCGAAAGTTCATTAAAACCTGCATAGTAAATACACAATTGTATATGTAGCATTTTTTTGGGACAAAAAAATAGTAGCATTTATTAATTGGTTCAAATTCGGCTAACTTTGCGGCTAACTAACTTAAAATTCCAACTCAAGTAATAAATATCAAAATTTTATACACTCGGACTTATAAGAAAGGCATCCCTGTAGCTTATTATTTGCATGTTATGTGCGTGTCTGAACAGACGATTTAATTCCCTAGAAATGAAACTAGAGATTTCAGTTCTTCTGCGGAGGACTGAAGAAACACGATTGTAAGGTTGTGCGTCTAGAAGGTCATCATGTGACCTGCAGGATGTCGAAACTACGAGAGAGCGAAGACCAGCGATCAGTGTTTATGTCATCATCCTCTATGTTGAAGATGCTTATACGAGGGAAAATATTAATTCTGGTAAATTTAGCTTTCACATAACAGTTTGAAAACTTGATCAAAAGATCAAGTTTTCAAATCACATTAGCCATGCCATCACGTAATCTACATTTGTTCGTGGATGGGAAGGTTCCTAAGAAGCAACAAATTAAGCTTTCAAGAAGTTAGAAGCTCCGGCATCGAATTGACAAGGAGATGCTAATCAAAAAGTAGTTAAGACAACAAGCCAGTTGTCTGTAAGGGACCTTGAAAAAAGTTCAGAAACGCTGGCATAAATATCATCGTTTACAATCTTGACAATAACAGGTTCCTTAAATCTGATTTAAAGTCCAGTAGACGACATATTCCACTTTTACATGTCGATGCGTTAAACCTCCATAGCAATGTCTCTGCTATTATGGCGGGATATTGAGAATAAAGTAGACGACAGTGAGATATGTCCTAGCTGTGTGTCATATACGTTCAATTGTGGAGTAGTAAAAAGACGTTTACTAAGAATACTAACTTGTCCGTATAATATCACCGACCATTTGGCCTTAGCGAAATTTGGAGAGGGACCTTAGTTGGTGGCAAATTGTGCCTAGAGCGCTATTTACGAGGTCTGAGCTGACGCTTGAATTCGGATGTTACAGTGGATCCGTAGTTCTTTTAGGGTCACCGGGATATAAAATTCAGTGAAAATAATATTTGAATTAATACGTATCGATTAAGTACTAAAATATGAATTTGAATTTCAAAGGAAATCCTCACAATACATGCCCTGATAGTTCGATCCCCTTCGTGGAGGTATCTGAAATTGCGACGTGTACGCAGCTTGGGTCCTATCTTCGGGTAACGCATCTCCTCGAAAGCACTGAATCAATGGCTTGCAGCTGGCGCACCACATGAGCGCCTCCATTATTCTCATCCCAGCCATTAACCTCGGTGTCCCTTATCGATCACCCCACCGCGATCCGATAGATGACCTCTGCACGTTCGAGAATTTCTAATTGTGGCACATAAAGTGTACACGAGGTATGTTAACGATTACGGGTGAAACTGGCGACAGCATTACGCGTTAAGCTAACAGACAGGGTTTTTGTTGTAAACACGTGAGTCGTACACAGCTATGCAAAGGGCGTTTCTGAACTTACGTTGAAAATTGACTAATCCAACCGTATGCGGCACACCCACGTATACAGACAGTATCACTCAAGCACAATAATGGCTGGTTGTCCTGCCGGTTACTAGATTCTATGAGTCTAATTATCAGTGCTGTTACTGCTACATCATACTTTTTGTTACTGTGACGACTACTTTACTATTAGCAAACCAAGCCAATAAACGGCAAAATCTATTACACGAGATATGTGTGGAATAGTTGCGTTTAGCCCGACGCCTGTTGACAGGCCACCAAGTGTCCTTAAACAACCACACTTCCGTGGATCGCGTTGTTAGCCGCTTTGTTATCCGCTGCTGCTGCTACAGTGTAAGCTTTGCCCTCTCATCAGCTTGCTCTGGAACGAGAGTTCCCGATAGCAAACAACGGCCTAATGCTGATGAAATTCTACGCATACGGAGGAAGAAGGACAACATAGAAGGGCTTTACACCCTGGAGCGCTCTCGGCTAGCGACGTCTGTTCCTAGGACAAAGGATGTGACTATCCTCGCGTGAAAGAGCAGCTAGTTCATCTATCTGTATTCGGACGAGCTTTCGTGTGTTCTGTTAGTGCAAATGCTCCATGTCCTACCACAACTGACCCTGATGTCCGGACGCTTGTTATGGTCGACTCCGTCAATTGTGCGAACAAATATACTTTGTGTATCTGTGTATGTGGTTCGATGTGTCCGAGTGAAGACACCATCCTTCCAAAAAGCCAGGTGTTGCCAGGTTGCGTTGTGGGTGCGAATATTATAGCGAAAGGATATTGCTGGCAATGCCAAACGTTCAGCCGGAGCGACGATAAGTAATCAGAAGTGTTACACTGTTACATGTCGAGATACACGGTAGCATTGGCACGAGCGGGCAGGCAGGCCCAAATCGAACGACATTCTCTGACGAAGTTAGTACTCATCGTCATTGCAACTTTAGCAACCTGGTTTTACTCTCAATTTTAACTATCATAAGATAAAGACAAGGTCCACACCCCTTAGGGCCTTAAATTGGAATAATAATATACCTAAGTTTTCCAACTCTGTCTTGCTCCAAATGATATATATATATATATATATATATATATATAGAGAGAGAGAGAGAGAGAGAGAAAATTATATTAACATAATATCTCAGCCATATCATTAATTTTCCAAAAATAAATTGAAAATTACAACAACTATAGTCGCTTCTACAGAAGGAAAGTACTACGTAAAAACTATCGAAGAAATCGGAGTTTTAGTACAAAACAAATTAATTTATTTCAATAACAACTAAGTTCAGTAACCAGATCTATGACTACCGTGCTTTCACGTACTCGATTACTCTGCATGGCACTATAACATAAGAGCACGTGACTTCGATAAATGTGTCTGTGACATTGCTGGTATATTAGCAGCATTCTCTCTCCTTCGTCAGCGTGGAAACTCGCATCTCCCCTGGCGTGCATGCCCCAAAGGCTATCCCATGGGGGATTACTCACTACGTTTAATTCGAACACGCAACATATTCAGAGTCGCTTTATTAAGCTAACCTTGCCATTTCCTCAGCTATCACCACTCTAGGTCCTGGTGTTGCGATCGCTATTAATCGTTTGAAAGACTCGAAACATTATGTAATATTTGAAGTACGTCCTGGAAACTCACTTCCGGGACATTATGACACGATACCGTTTGAACGGCCTTGCAGTCAATTATGTTGATCATCAGAGGACGTCAAACGGGTGGCAGCACTTGAACGAGACTTCAAAAAGTCAAAATTCGTAGACGACATCCTCAAGTTCCCAATATATTCAATTAACACATAAAAGCACTACCTGCACTAGTATCCCGTTGACTACATTTTTCAGAATCTGTATAGCTAAGGCAAGGATCCTAACAGTAGGAAGAGACCGCACATGATGGTTATATCTGAGGAAAAGCGGGACCCTGAAGACCCTAAATTTTAGAGAGGAATCGTGAACAAGACGACTATAAACCTCCCTTTTATCAAGTATTGTCGTACGGTGGCTAACTTCTTTTCTAGAGTATTGTGAAGCGTTATTGAACAAACAGCACGGGTTTTATGATGCTAAATTAACCATGACTTCATAGATGATATCCTAACCAAGCTAATTATTACATTTTCATAGATCTTATAGCACCTTTCGGCTCGGGCTCGAAAACCGTCGTATCGAGAAAGCTGGAAAAACTGAAAATATTTCCAAAAGTACTAAGACTAGTGCAAAGCATCTTCTAAAATAACTTTTAATGATGGCGTTACAGAAGCTAACGGTCTAGCAAATGACACGATTCGTACAAGACGTTTAGACCAGCCGGTTACTTTTGCGCTTTTCATCAACGATTTCTCGTCATGAATTCTGCAACGGCATCTTCTCTTTAAGATGATGCTGCACGCAAACGACGTTCCCATATGTATAGTTTAAGCGGATTTTATCTACAACAAACTATAAACGTCAGAGATTTTCAAGGACTTTGTAAGCTGTTCCTTTTTTTTGTACGTATCTTCAGCACAAGCTCAATAGTGCCCTATATTGTAGGCCTACCAAATATGGATCTTTTCAATTCTAACTTTACCGTTCGCTATCTTAAGTGGGAAAAGTAAGAGAACATACTTACGCAATTCGAAAATAAAGCATCCCTTTTTATATAACTGCGGGTCGCTGTATTTTCCTCGAGTCTTGTCACATTTACTGAATCTCGATGGGTTATACTACAAGGATAGCTGTCGATTAAGCGATAATACTTTGGTGACCTACTAGGAATTTCCTAAAATGCTTCGCAATCCTATCTACGGTTGCGTTTTCCAGCGTCGCAACTGCTCTTTTAGCATAAACTATCACAGCTGTTGAAAAAGGCCAACAAGCAAGCGCTATGGTAAAAGTAATGGTCTACGAAGAACAACTTTACAGATTTCCAAGTTTGCGAGGACAGGTTTTTCGGAGTTTGCCAGATTGACAATCCTACCTCAGCTCGAATACATGGACATCTTTCGTTATGATGGGAACCCTTATCCGATCGACTTATGCAAACATGATTTTGAAAACCTGAATAAGGTAAGACATTTAAATATTCGGAACAGAATTCTGAGCGACCTCTCTAACGAAATCTTTTGGGGCTCTGTGTAGCTTTGAATAGCACATTTCTATATTAGATATCTCCAACCGTGTTTATTTTTGCCGTCAGCAAATTCCATTTATCCGTATCTCAGCGGAAACAAAATTGTGGTCGTGAAATTTCGTCGTGAAAAGTTTTTGAAACTTAAGACACTTAAATTTTACTTACGCACCGAGACAACGGCTTTCACCTCTTATAGATGGACACATGCTCAATTTGAAGCTGGCACGCGTGCCAGCCAAGCTAATTATCATTATGACAGATCTCCTTCTCGTCAGCGACTGGTAGAAAAACTACGGTAATTGAAGAGAACGAGAATGTAGTCATACTACTGAAGACTGTACCAATCGACGAAACGAGGGTAAGTGGTAAAGTTAATCTGCTAAGGAAAAGCTATTGTGACTCTTCCGAAAGTTAGTATAAGAATATGAATAAAAGTCCATCAGTGTTTCTGAGAGGCTGTAGAAGAGTCCAGCTAGATTATCCGATCGAGAATCGTCAGGAACTAAGATTCATACCGTGGAATCTAAATAAGATTGCTTGACAAAAAGCGAAACGTGACGTCTAATTAGGCTGTTTTGAAAGTCCACGGAAACAACATTTCCAACAAAAACTATGAGGACAATTGTGCTAACAGGAAATGTTCATCAGTCGAGGACATACAATGAGGTAAAAATTGAGAACTGAAATGTAGAAGGAACGAAACTGGAAAGTGGCCATAACAGTCGTAAGTTACGCAACTTCCGACCAACATAAATTAGAGTCAGAGACATATATGTTGCTAACATATAAGATCGTTGCTGCAAAAGACTGCACGTTTTACTTGTGTTGAAGTTGCTGAGTTAAACACCTGACCTGTACAAAATTTTCCAGAAGCGCAGAGTTGGCCTTTGTCTGTATTGTAACTGGTATTTTGTACATATAATTTACTAAGATGCTTAAACTTAAATGTAGACACAACATGAATAGCTTCCTTTGTTCATATAGATAAAAAGAGATAACACAGTCTGCTACGTCAGGCGTATAGTGTATTTTCTTTACAGCTCTCTACATCACATAAAATCACTCATTGGCTTTGGAGCACATACACAATTTTCTGCCAGACAACATCGCCAGCGCTACTTAGACGATAAACGTTTTTGGTACAAAATGCCCCTTATTATGTATTTGGAGATCATAGTGTAGACTCAGCGGACTCGCAGAAATGACGGAACATGTACAACTTATTTCCTACAGGTATTTTCAAACTTATCCAGGCCCGCTTCCATGCGGACGTTTGATTCAGGTAGCTTACATGAACCTGTAAACGTTACATTACAAACAGAACAAACTCTCAAGGCACATAGTTTTAAAATGGTACGAATTAAGAATTTTCAATAACTCAGTAACCGAGCTAAAACTTGTAAAATATATCTGCGATGATTGACAATCTACCGAACTGTTCTGTGGCCGAAATCACTAGATAACAAGACAACTAAGTTTCAGAACAAGTTACCTTCGGAATGCCACGAAACACAAACGGTGATTATTAGTCGTAGTGTCAATTTACTGCCGACTCATGTAGTTCTCGACTTAACAAAAAGTTTCGTAAACTTATACAAAGTACACATTTCACTATATAATTCTTCCAATGAATTTATTAATAATAACACCTCAGCGCTCAGGCTTTAACACCCGCAGCTTGTCCTAATATACGTACGTCTACCGAAGTCTTGCGGTGGCGAATCCAGTTCGAATTAACGAAGAAATTTTCATGAAAAGGATGGGTGAAATTTTTAGATTTAAATTTCCGTCCAAGCTCAAAATGGTTTAGGCTAGACTGATCAACTCTGGCGGTATCCACCCACGTTTTAGCCATTCTCCTATCCATGTCAAAATGTCTCAAATCAAATAAACAATATTTGATTTCTAACAACCGCCAATACGATGCAGTTGTATTCTGTCTTTTCGACGTAAATAACCAAGTAGATCTTTTACATGTGCAAAGGTGGCCATTTCGTCACAACGAGAGATAACCGTTTGTACGTGACGTTAGACACCAGGCTTTAGCGGGCTCCTTTAGCGGACTCTTCATTAGTTAGGAATAAACGCTTAATACTAAGCAAGATGAATCTGTGTTTTCTGCAACGCAATTATATAATTATTTTTAGGATTTTGGGAAACTGGTTCAGTAGAATCGGGTGCATAGAAACCGGCCAGATTCACTGTGACTCAATGATCGTCGGCAGGTTATGTTATAGTCGGGATCGCAGACAGGCGTAATATTCGAAGAGGGAAAAACTTTCAACGTTACGTTTGCTTTAGGCCTTCGGTCATGGTTCCTCTTGTACGATGTCATTGAATTATTCAGGAGAACCTCGCACGGCTATAGTGTCACGGCTTGCCTCAGTGAATAGTTCCGCATCCGACCACATAGCAACCTTCGATGCACGGGACCGGCCTGCATTGACAAGAAAACGTAATGTTCGGATATTAAAAAGTTTTTGTTGGCTCACGAAACGTAAGAATTAGCTAAATTCTATCGCAAGCGTCTGTCGAGAACTCATAAAAATGTCTAAGGAAGACAGTTACATCAAGTAAGCCTCTGACTTGGTTAACGATTACGTACATTTCAGCTCTTGCGTTATGTGCGACTTGAGTAAATCAAATATAAAGTCGATTTTATAAGATGATGTTGGAAACAAAAACGTAAAAAAAGCTATCGCAGTCGTTGCAGAGTTGGGTTGACACCACAAGCTTACCATTATTTTTTGAAGCCCTTATGGGGCTCATGCAGACGAACGAGATTTTCAACAAGTAAAGTTAATTACAATTGTGGTTAATAGTTATTGGGTACACATTAAGTAATTTACTACAACGGGTACTGCTTAATAAGTCGAAAAATTAACTTCTTATCATAGTTATTATTGCTTGTTTCTTTTGGCGCAATCACAGCTTTGCCATTCCGGTTACTTGAGCATTCTATAGAAGCGCATTAGGCGTGAAGTAGATCCGAGGTCAGCCAGATCTGTTACGTTGCTCCATATCTATATAGCCTTGCTACTCTGGATTCGGTTGTAGATGTATCGTGTTCATCTGTACATGCCGCCGGAAGCAACATACTGTCGAATATACTCCATATTTAGTTGATTCAAGATTGAATAGTACACGATATTTTCGCTCCGATGTTCATCTCACAGCCGGACAACGTTGGAAATCAAATAAAAATAATACCGGTGAGATTCTTTCATGCCTCGAATACACCGTCATAGCTACCATATTTTCTAGTAATTGAATAGTGCGGCGTTAACCAGCAATATAGACCTATAATATAATATTCTGTTTGCCATAAAGATTACTTACGTACAGTTGAGCAGAATAGTTGAAATAAGTCTCGAGAATAACGTAATGCTATCTTCACTAAAGGCCTACTTCATGGGGTTTCTCGTTTGACTATTTCTTTTGTGTTACGTGCACACCTAAAACGAAATAAAAAAAAAAAACAAAAGGTAGGCTTCGCCCTTCAGTTTGAATGTGATTAGAAATTGTTGGCCATTAAAGAACTTGTTGCAAGATTTGCGTCAACGTATAGCTGTTTGCAATTAGCTTTGAATCAAAATTCCTGTCGTCAGACTGCATGGCTACCGTTGAGGGGCGATAAAAAAACAGAAATTTTGCTGATCCACAAAAGCAAAAAGCTGTATAAATCCAAACCGTCGTTAGTTAGTCGTTCGCGGCTAGCACTTAATTATTGCTGATATAATTATCATACGGTTTCAGTGCTCGAGTACCGTCGTATAGGGAAGTTCAGTGTTGAGCCAGAAGCTTGATCCAAGTAGGTTAGCAGGACGCATATGAAAGAACCTGTAGAGATAACTATTATTATAACATAAGTAGCTTATGAAGCGGCTCATTCAATCGCATTCTGATGCTTTCCACCTTTGCCGTTTTAGGTTTCCGCCTTGTGGCAGAATGTTTCAGTGAATGTTATTTACGCAGCCGCATTATCATTTACACGTCATTAGGTAAGTTTTTCTGTGTATTTTATTTTATCATTTTACAGCTACATGCTTTCCTCTAGCGATGATTCTTATTACTATAATATGTTTACTTTTATATAACTGTTCCGTGATAACAGCATAACATTGATCATTAGCAGTCTGGTAAATTCCATAGATAGTGCGGGATTCACGTTACCTGTATATATCCTCCCGTTCTGTCGAACGTGGCCTACTTAATGACTCAAAAGCATACAGTAGGGTATGGATTCAGTGATCAAAACGTTTCATCTCACAGACAATACCATTTGTAAGGACGAGGTTGTGCTTAATAAAATGAACCTATATATAAAGCAAGCTATAATAACAGGTAGCTCGAATATTTATAAACATGCACACCGCCTTGGATAATCAGTATCGTAATATAGTAATTATTGAATTATTATACTTTTTAATAATTCTTCCCTTACACATCTCAGTCCAAACGTCATTAATGTCTAGATATCTAGCTTTCTTTAGTCGAATTTATTACTATTGATATTCTGACCTTTTCGAGTAATATACGAAATATTGTATGAAAAAATGGATGAAAAGTACAGAATATGAAAATACATCTATTTTTTACTACAGATTTTATTAAGTAACAGATGTATTACGTAGGGAACTGCATGAATGTGATACTGCCACCACATGTATATGATATATTATTCTGTTTAAATCGACCGATTCTCTGGGACCCAGTGTCTTATAGCCATTAACTCCAAACTCACGTTTTCGCACTTCAGCTTTACAGGCAGCTGCTAATAGATTTACGTTGAATCTTATTAACCTTATTTTACAACTTACTGATTGCTTGTCAGGAAAGTTCCCGATTGTCTTCTTAAAACTACGGATATCCTTCACATTAATGTTCCATTTATTTTCAGCTATTAACTCTTAAGATTGGAAGTATGAGAATCACTAAAATCAGTTTCTGCAGTTCATATTATATTGGACGATCTATTATACTATAAAATTTATACTATAAAATCACGCTTCCTTAAATACACACTTCGGTGAGAGTGGCACCCCTGTAGCACCAAAAAGGAACTTCATCTTTTTTACCCGAAGGCATTGCCATCCGGTGGATGCCCGGCTAACTCGTACAATTTGTACCACGCATAACAAGTATACGTTAATGTATGCCGAGTTAAAAAAAATATCTACTCTAGGGATAAGTAAACCACTCGTAATAGTTGTTCATCTTTGGCAACACGCAGTGTTATTGGATGAGGTCTGTCAAGACAAGTAATACATTTTTGCAAAGAGTAGAGACTTCGTTATTTGGAAAATCAACGAAAATGATACAATTACAGAATATGTCGTTAGTAATCTGCTTTGTCAATCACAAACGAGATTATATTTTTTTTCAACATAAAAAAGACGCAAAGATTACTTTATGAACCAAAAACAACAAGCTGAAATTGAAGATTAGTGTAAAACGCCGGCAACCAATGGGAATCGTTTTATCATAGCTGCCGTAAATAAGAACGCGTTACGGGCTTCCGTGCAATAATTTCCTTTAGAATAGAGTAAGTTAGACTAATGAGAAAGGTATATATATACATCTCTGTACGCGTCTTGCTTTCATTAAGTGTTTACTGTTTATACCTAGTGACCTGGTATCCGTCAAGCCTTTCAGTCGAAACTAGTTCTTCGTGATTGAGCATTCGACGGCTTTAGCGCCGGCGATCACATGAACCACGACCTGGCTTTTTTATCGTTAATAACGAATACCCTGAGAGTCGCGTGTCCCTTACGACGATCTGGCCCTTGACCGGTATACCACTTTCGGCGATCTGACCTGTGGCTCCCATGTTCTCGGCCTCGCCCCCTCCTTCACCGTCGAGTGAAAATCGGTGTGAGGGACAATTGGCCGGTTTCCAGGCCCCATTTGGTCACTTCCATGAATTTGCTCGGAAATAGGCTTCGTGCGATCAAACTGTTATGGCGCACAAGCATCGGAACAGCTGTATGTCATTTCAGTGTATTCGAGTACGAGTATATTCCTTACTTAACAAGAATGTTTAACATCTTTTATATGCACCGTAACTTTAGGCCATCATACCCATTTGTCTGTCCCGATATACAGCCCAGAGGCATCTACGCTCTCGATCAATTCTGGTTTGAAGGTGCCAGTTCCCCAAGGTAGGCGATGATTCTCGATTGATAATCGTCCAGTGCTTTCTGTAACGTGACCGTGTTATTATTTTCGTTTTCCTAATTTATTAGTTGCTAGCATCACGCCCGCTGATGTACACGCGTACGTACCCCTACATCTTCCAGAAACGGCCGTTATATCCTGACAATGTTCTAACTAGTAGCTGCACATTGTTTACTTTATTGGCCATGACAAAGAGACAAGCCGGGTTCGCTGCTCTGTATAATACCAAATAAGCGCTGGAAAAAACTGAGCGAATCGTCCGGTGTAAATAAAGTCGGATAATTTCTAGCATTTTAATAACCCAGAAAACATTAGAGGAATATATTTGGTTTTCTTTTTATCTAGAATATAGCCATATAATAACTGTGGACATATATATATATATATGTCCACAGTTATTATATGGCTATATTATATATATACATATATATATATAATGAAAAACTAATGCAGATGATTCACTAATAATAATAACACCACGGTCACAAGTAATAGGCTTACTAACACCTTATTCATGGTAAAAATGAGTGCACAGGGGGAACCCAATAATTTTCTAATTAAATTATATTCGTATAGATGGTTCTTATCTTTCAGAAAAGGGCCTTTGTAAAAATGTAAATGTAGCTCCTATGGCATCTACCACTGAACAAAAGGTGATTAAATAAAAAAGAGATTTTACAATTTTACTTCGTTCATAGTTATATTTTGGCTTTTCCAGGATGACCACATATCTGGCAATATCGTGAGTGTATCCGCGTATGCACTTACCAAAATGGTGACTTAGTTGAAATATCAGAAGTATTGCTCAAGTGTACGGAAATAAACTATTAGAAGCAGAAACGTATGCGTTCGATTGCAGTACTATATTCAGCAATCATGTGGGGCGTTTTTCTATCCAATCGAAAAATTTCGTTGCGTATCTAGGTAAAAAAACGAGTCTGGAAAATCCACGAAAGAAACATTTGGTCGAGACGAAATCTGCGTATTACACTCGTCCAATGTAGGAAAGAGGCGGAGATAACCGTATCTGGTGGCCTCGGGTAGGCCTCGACTGGGTTGCGGCAGAAAACCAAACAAGCACGTTATTAGAACTTTTTTTCTGCGCAGACTCTCATTGAAAAATTACTTATTACGCTTAAACTGCATGAGATTTTTGGGTGCATTATGAGTAAGAAGCTACAAATACTATCTGGTCATAGCCTGACGCTAACCCATATGCATGGATCCTTAATATCTCACTGCGTCTTGCAACAGCGATATTTATTAGATAATGAGTGATAAGGGAACTCGCTTGTTGAATTGAGTCGATTATATTTTGTTTACGTTAAGCTACTTAACCAAATGACATTGCCATTTTTAGGCTTTTAAAGGTGTTCTATCTTTGGCAACTGGCTTCAACACAAGGTCACTTGTTCTGCCTTTTTTGAGAACGCGAGAGCATTTCCACCATGTACGCCGAATTGCCTGGTAACAAAATTGTTGCCTTCAACTTCTCTAACAGAGTTTATATGAGTACATACAGCTGTTCGACGCAGCAGGACCTTGCGCGGCGGTAAGTGGCGGACGACCTCACATCGAAATCAATGACGTTTGCAAATATGTTCATACATGTTCCATGCCTACAGTTCACTGGTAAAACTAGAATTACTGGACTCGTAGCTGGAGTTGGTCTCTGGATCGTTCGGTAGGTAGAGGTTGAATCTCATGCGCCTACATGCTAGAATCAATAGCAGTAACAGCAGCCAATCATGAAACATACGCGTGTGCAGTTTTAAGACGAGAACTACTAGAAGCACACGATCACATAGTACATGTTCTCGATACGACTCGCAGCGAATTAGACAAATTTCGCGCTAAAACGTTGTTTATCCCTCGATAAGTCTTGCTTTCTCACTGGAAGGGTCCTTCAATCGTACCTAGTTAAATTTATATTTTCTAGCAAGGCCAGCTCGATGTAATAAGGTAGTGCTACCGGTAAACTCTTCGTGACGAAACAAAAGCGATCCTCTAGATACGATCATCAGTGAACAAAACCTCGGCGCTGAATCGACATAATTTCGCCGACGCCCGCTCCCAGATAGACCCAACAAGCTATTAGTTCACACTTTGCAAATAGGTTACGTTCACGATTTTTTTAATATTCTCACTAATGCTGCAAGTTGTTGCCACTTCCGAGATGCTAGTTTCGGCACCACACTCCAGCTGAGTGCCCGGATTTTGGTTCAGGTGTCCATCGACCGGACACAGTCGGCTACCTTTTTTAGCTTGCCATTTCCGACCGTTACCACAACCAGACTTCTGAGTGAGTGTTTCAGGTATCGATATTGTTGCTAACTTCAGCAGCAGCAGACTCGCCATTATCAACAACAGCAGCTCGGTTCGTCCATTACGGAATGGTTGTTGTCGGTAGTGGCCATCGCCCGGTTGGGTCGGTGAAGCCTTCATGGGCTCGGGTTCGCTTTTCGCAATGGAGTGGTGCCGCACTCATTGGCGACTTCCTACAGCCCCGTGTTGCTATTGTTTTTTAGGCTTGTTGTGTAGTTGATTCTTCTTACTGGGTTCTCCCCAATTGCTTGCGTTCGGATAATTTTTAGTGCGTCAAAACTGTGCGCCGATGTTAGCTGCACAAGAGTCACTATTTTGCCGGAGCACGTAATGGTAAAAGCACGTAATATCTTGCTACTATATGTCTGCGACCGCTACCTTTTTGCTATACATAGATAAATTACGTCGTTCCATTTTGTCAGTGCTGTTGCGCAGTTTTAAAGGCTCCCTGATGACTGTGTGAACGCGGTAAATTTCTGCTCACAATTCAACCGCCCTCGTAGATTCCAAGGTACCTTAGCGAGCTTATCACTTCTAGTCAATTCGGGGTCTTCGTGTTGATTTTGCACCGAATACCCGACATTTACTTTCATACAAAAGCTGGCCGCCAATTATAACTGGACAGACAAAGATAAACGCGCCTCGCTAACGGCCGCGCATCGTTAATAGCTCGAGCCGTTTGCTCTACTAGAGAAACGCGTTATTTACGTTAAACCCTTCCTTCGTTAAAACGTTTAAGAATTACAAAATACTTAATAATTACGATCAAATCGCCGTTTTACCAAATATGTGGACAGTTATTATGAATAGACATGTAACAGTAGTATAACAGGTATTGCAGACATACTACACTTTAAGAACGGTGCCAATGAATACCAGAGTGATGATGGAAATGATGACTAATTCTTACTCCGTAGGTAAATGAACCTAATATGTTTGTGCTTAGTGTTTGCACACTTGTATAGTAAACACTGAAGCTCGACAGTACCGATAAACCTATAAGGACTAGCATTTTCGATCGTGTTACGGCTCTTTTTCCAACGAGACACAGATACATGGCTAGCAAAAAAGGCTAAGCCATGCAGAAAATTACTATACAGATCCATCGCCCAACATCAGCTGACCGACCGCTGAAACGCCGTACGCAATTACGAGATGGAAGAAATGTCCGTTTAGAACAACGAATCGACAAATGGAGTAAGCAACTCAAGAGATGACTGTAACTCTCATAGCATATGGCTCATACAGGCGGACAACGAACGGCAGACATACAACCGTAATAGGTACCTCTATACTTAATAGAAAACCAGTGAAAGAGAAGCCGTTTTTGGCAACGACTTTTTCGGCCGGAACGTGGAACCGACACGGAACGTAGGAATTTGCCTATTGCACAATGGGCAACTGTTTATTGTGTAAAATACGGTAACGGGCAAGTGCCAACGACTATGACAGGGTGCCGCGTCAGCGACTTCCGTCTATTGTGCAAGTGCCGCTAGATAGTTTTACGGTAATTACTATAATCGTCGCGTACAGAGCTACATAAAACATCAATGGTTCAATATGCGTTTGACGCTGGCACTACTCTGCCTCTTACGAATACTACTATAGGCTTTTAACATTGTTTTTGAGGCGGTCCGAGTGAATTTGAGAGATAGACGAAACTTCCATAAACTAATTATAATTATAATGAAATCAGAAATATAATATAGTTAGTCCTAAGAAATAATGGTCAGACAAAAACGTTCGCCTAAGCGTATTTCTGTCATTCGTTTTCGTTGTCAGCGTACGTTTATACAGCGTTGATGTGGCATATAGCGCTAACCATCTGAGGCGCTTCAATTAGGTATTCCAATTTAACGGTAACCCTGTATCAATAGGACTAAATTTATAACGAAATGATGATCTCGACACAATGTCGAACATACGTTATTAAGTGTCGAAGAAAAACTAAATATTTAGTGTTGTCTGTCACAACTGTTCTTTCTCAGAATTCATGGAGGTTCTTTCCATGGAAGAACATCTTTTTTTGACAGCCAGGTGCATAGCACGTTTGTTCCGATATTTTCATTGCCCAAATATATATGGTTTTATATATATTATACAGTTTTATATATACAGTTATAGTTTTATCTTACGAAACCATTTAAGGGATTGCTATCACCATTGCAGAGTATTATGTCGACCTACCGAAAGCTGGGAACGGAAGACCAGTAACGTGATCAATCGAAAGCAACAACAACCTATAGAAATTTTACGAAGCTGTCTGTTTCCAGCACTTTACGATTTTAGATTTAGTTGTTCTTCCGCTAATAACAAACAGGTATAGTAAATCAGATTGAATCCGCACTATAGCTCTTTTTTTAATTAGACGTGCTCATCTAGACCAGAGAGCACCTGTGAAGTTCGCTTCTTACGGACTTATGAAACAAGTATAAAATCAGTCGATGGACTCACTCAGATAACAACGAATTTTAATGCCAGCTTCACTAGACTAGCGCACACTTTCCACTTCAGAAGCCGCTGAAGTCCCATTTACTTCCCGCGTGATACGTTAATTATGGAAATAGTACTCCATTACGTATATATTATACCTCAGCATACTGCACAAAGCGAACTCGCTTGATTATGAACGTTATTAGTCAATTTCTATTGCATAGCTAGTCTAGTCGTTCCCGGATCTATTCATTATTATAACCGTACCATACTCCTATAAGGGAAGCAGTCTGTGGAATGTGTGCGGCTACAATATGAAGTATACAAACTTGTATTCCAATCTGAGTTAAAATTGAGCCTTAAAATAAAGAAGCACGCCTGTCAGTTAACTTCAACAATGATAAGATTACATAGAAATACAGAAATGCACATGTATGAACAAAGATGTACACACGCCGCCAGAATCAGTGAGCCAAAATGACTAGGCTGCCAGGGAATCTGACCGCTTTTCGTTGTTCTGATTCCACCCCTTCGTTTCCGAAGTTGGATCGAATCCAGGCGCCTCGACTAGCCATCATTGTTGATTCAGTCGCTTGTTGTATAGTACAATAAAGCGTTCTATTGTCAATCAGACGACGAACTTGTTCCCTCCTGTGATGTCGCGGCCAAAACGGAATTACTTAGCCCTTCCGCCTAACGTGCGTCCGTTAAACGCGCCAAATAAATACAACCGAGCTCCACGGTTCCCGTGTCAGCGTCCCGTGCCGTGCCGCGTGACGTCCAATATGGCGGCTGTTATTCAATCACTGACCATTCTAAAGGGAATTCGACCAGGAGAATGCAATCCAATACAAATTAAAGGTTCTTAAAGAGAATAATCTTGGAAACGTTTCAAAATTATATATAAGACGTTTTTATTTTCCGGTGCATCGACGCCAGCGGACGGTACCCTCTCATTCGTATCTTACCGATATAAATTAGAGGATTAAGTATTTCCGTAGTGGCCAACGTCTGTACGGAGATGGCGACGTAATGGAATTACAACACCTATGTTACGCTAAACGAGAAAGCGGACCAACTAAAGTACTGCAGAGGTGCAAATTATCTAGATAATATTATGGTAATATTAAGAGCTAACTGGCTTGAATAAGGGTCCTGGCTTAAAGCATGACTGTTTTACTTGCTAGTCTTTGCAGCAGACTACAAGGTATACCTCGTAAGATAATACTGCTTAGGCCTATTTACACAAATATCTACCAAACAGTCAAAAGCTTAGATATTTTATCTAGGTATTACCTACATTGAACCGAGGATTATGAAACATGCTGAATCGGTTCGTAGTATCTAGAGTATTTGCGTGCAACAATATAACAACTTTGACAATTGGTATAACACGTCGAGTGTTGTTCCGCAACAAACAAACAGAAGGAATAACTTAAACGTATATTACACAAGTAAATAGCCATGCTTTTGCGTCATAATAGTGAATCCCATGAATATGGGTTATAAGTCTAATGAGTGCTATTGTGATATGAGACGCTTAAAACAACATATCTAACAAATAAACTATTTTGACAAAAGTCCATATATATATATATATATATATATATATGACATATGTCAGAAATAAACTGGGCACAAGAGGCGATTTTGTTCAGCCCAATAGTTGGCAATATACGAGTTTGTAGCTACGTTAGCCCCTCAGCATGCGTTCTATCCATAGAGGCATTCGAAAGTGAACGCAGAGCGTTTCGACATACGCAAAGCTACGTTACACCGATATTCTGAATGAACTTTTAGTATAAGCAGTGAGGTTTTTCAATAGATATAATAGATGGACCCGGCACTCAAAAATCCAACTGTTACAAAATTGACCCACGGATCGTCCACTGCAGCTCACCGCCAGACGTGCAGTGCAGACAGAGATGTTACGCGCAACATTTATGTATGTAGAAATCAAAATCCATGTTCAGACCCTGGTGTGTCATCAGAACCCTCGCAGTATGTACACACGCTGTTTCTATTCAGCTGGTCCGCCATGTCGATAGATTGCTTTCTCTTTTGTGTACAGAAGCGTATAGATCCACTGATATGCTCAAGTTTATATATCCATGTATGAATAAACGCCATCAATCATGTTAGGGGCAATTGTTGCTTTAACCTTCAAAAGAATTCGTTGTTATATACATTGGAAGAATTATAGAAGAAAAAAAAACGCTTTCAAATGTCTACGTTCGAGAAAAGATGTACTATACTGTTACCTAATAGTATATAAGTGCCCGACGGAGCAGACCTGATGCAACATAACTGGATTGACATCTAACCCTAGCTATTATATTATAACGCTCCAAGAATTGGGCATATATGGGACAGTTACCATATGTGCCGCTAACAAAGCTATCGGACTCACATTTGTATGAAGCTAATCGGTGTTATTGTTATTTTATCGTTATTAACAAGTATATGAGGACTTCACCGGATGTGATGACCCATCCGGCATATGGCCATGATCCTTTTTGTTTACTGATCGTAGCTGCCTCGACGCCCAGGGGCAGCGGCAGCTCCACTGCGCAAAAAGAGCCGATACTGTGTAAGTATCGCCCTGCGGCATCTCTGCTCTCTGCTGGCGGGGCAGCTGTCGTGCTCCTTATTTAATATTAGCAGACGAACGCATGAACAAAGTGTATCCCGTATTGTCCTGTTGTTCGTTCGCGTGAAGTTGAGCACCGTCTAATAAGCGTTGCGGTACTACAGACAGGCGCACACAATGACAGCGGCAACAGGTCCTAGCGATCGTCATCGTGTCTCTACTATTACAACCGTCATAAGCATAGGATAACTGTTTTAATCGTTGCCAAACGGACGTTAACTCTCACCAAATCATTCGATATATTGAGTGATTAATCGGAAATTGAATGATGACGCAAAGCATGGCCTGCAACGGACAACTCATCCCGTCAGCAGATATAGTATTTGATCAGACAGTGACGATCGATAGCGCCGCAGGTCAACCGGCTATTCAATGAAATTGATTTTGCAGTCTATGCGGCGCCTGATAACTGGACATGGACAAAAACATCTGGAAAGCTGGCGAAGTGTCTGCGCACACGCTCATCCCAATTTGATTGTACGTCAATGACTACACAGACGCTGAAAGATTATGCCATCATATAGTAACTGCCGCTTCTGCTACTATTTACTGGAAGATGGCACGACCACAGGCTTACTAACTAATTAGCAGATAACACAGATGTTCGCGATGGCAAATGGCGAGGGGGGCAGAAGGGACACCGACTGAACAACTGGCATTTATTCGAAGATGGGGCCGAAGAAGCCAGTGGGGGGTTATCGCGGCGAGCCGCGTAATGCCTGTCAAAGAAAATGGTACAAAACTCTGGAGGCTTATGCTAGCGTGAATATTGAATGTTGAACTATCGTTCACTGTTCGATATTTACTTCCTAGACATCATTGAATTAAATTTACTGGGCAAAAGTTAATTTAGTAATGTAGTAGGAAAATCATTGGGCTGGCTAATAACAGCAACGGCGGCGGTAATAGCAGTAATAGTGGCCGGAGCAACAACGGTCCACTCTGTCAACCGGCAGACTGTTAGCGACCCAGACACAGATTTTGGACACTGTGTTGGTAATCGGTGGGACACGTACACCTGTCTTACATAACATGAAGATTAAACTTAATTCATAGGGCGACTCTAGCTCAGTTGTATTTTGCAAGATCAGTTGATGATCGGGCAAGGAGCTTTATTGAACATCGGACGATTGGTTGATGACGCTGGTGCTTCTTTACGCCTCGTATAAATTAGCTTTTTCGAATATGTGTATATTGTGAATGAATACGCTGACAAATGATATTGTTTTACTGGAATTTTTTGCGTGTATATCTCTGACATGGCAGCTCGATCGCTAGCATCATACAATGCAAAGACTTATACCATAGCTACATTTAGTTTGTCTCTAGTAAACACTTTCATCTAAACACGTCCTTGTGTACTACGTGGACGCCGCAATAACAATTGAATCAATGCTACTTGACTAAAACGTCTCACAAGGCTCATTATTTCAACATGCAATAGCACGAATGACAGCGATACGCAGTAACAAAAGCAGGACTTCTGATGGAATGAAAAACAATGTTGGCAAATGCTTGGGATTATTCATTGAACTGCTTCGAACATTACGCCTGTTTGAAGTAGCGCTAATTTGACTGGCACTTGTGAAGTCCATCGCGACGTCTACTGGTCACTGGACTATGAGCCTATTTCTGCACAAGACCCCCTGACAGTCATGTGGTTGCATCAACACTCTGAAAATGGGGATGCCACTGACGTTAACGCATAGCGAGTTTGCCTGCGGCACTTGTTTATTATGCCGACCCAGCATGTTCTTCTTTATCGTATTCCTGTTAATTGTCATCAGACGCTATCGAGTCTTCTGCGGCGCCCAGCATTGGTTAACCCCACTGACCCCAAATCGTGGTTCCGAAACTCGGGACCGCAAAGCGTTGCGTCGTCGCCAGAACAGCAGCATCGCTTGCCTCAGACTCATTCTAGAGTCTTAGCACCCGCTTCCAAATCAACTTCCACCAGTCATTTCGTAACGGGAAGAGCCAGTCATCCGCCAGCTCTCCGTATCTGACTAGCATAGTTCTAGAGACAAAGGCTGCCAATAAACGCTCGTTCGCCTGCTACCATCTTTTTTGAAATCACTGGTTAGTCCGTTATTTTCTAGCGCAGGTTTCTTATACACGGCCTACCTTGAACTCGCACCTCCATTGCTACATCCGGTGTAGTTTCGCTGAAACGGCATGTGAGTAGATAAGCGATTTGTTCACGCTGTCTTCGAAAGATTAAAATGCATGAAGGAAGAATCGACGCATGTTGGAAACAACATCGTGGTATAATACGTTTGCGTTCATGCTGAGTGGCGATGGTAGCGTGGCGGCTATAGTTGTATTAGGAGCAACGGAAACTGTCGAGGTCATTTGTCTCATCCTCTCTCTCTCCGCTGCCCCCGTAAACATGGGCAGACATTACGATTACTTCGAGCTGACTGAAGTTGCGTAGTAGTCTTTAATCTACTACCATCACGAGAAAAACTCTTGCCCTATTACCGCAGTAATTTATAGAGCCGGCTAGAGTATTTGGCCCTGATTCGATAATCTTTCTCTCCTGGTCCGAATACCTCAAACAGCAAAAACAACTACGCTGAACCCCACGCTGCCGGACGCAGCCTGTTTCTCGTAGGCGTAACTTAGTTGATTTGACTTTACTGGCGTACATCATAGCCGACCAAAGACAGATACGTGTATTTAACAGTTCAAAATTTTATAGCGTTTCTATTGAAACAATAGGACATTATTGTATAATCATTCATTGCGGGTGTCACAGTGCCAGAAACCCATGGTGTTTGCTAACTCACAATAAACGATGGTAACAAAACGATAATGCTCTCTGACATCTCGCTTTGAGTCAGTGCGTATTTGCTATAGGAACGAGTAGAACGGGCTGAACTTCGGAGAATACAACAGGAAGTTCTCACATCAGATGAGTGTCTTTGTTTAGCTTACTGCAAGCTTGCTTTCCATTGGTATTAAGTATCGATGGATTGAATGGAGTTTTCTCCATTACCTATAGAAAACTTTCCTTTTAGCAAACTGTGCTACAGTGGCCGGAACACGGACAAAACTGAAGACGTTTAGGCAATTCGATAACACTTCACTATTTATAACGAATATGTTTCTGCAATAGCAACATGATATGTATTTTTCGTTGAAAATTAATATTATTTTAATTATTATATTAATTTGCTTCATACAGATGTTTTATTGTTGCAGTTTTCCAATAATATCTAGCCCAGGAAAGCTTGCACTGGTTTGCCCGTTACCGCTTCGCTTCCGTTGAAGCGAATACCAGATACGTCTAATAAACACTTCCGCCAGGGATGCCCCTGTCGATGAAAGAAAGGTATTAAAATTAAACTACAATTAAACCATGACGTGGCAATAGGCTTTTCAACGCATATATCCTAGCCTTATATATCCTGCTTAGATAGTAGGGAACAGACGGAGGGATAGATAATAGTAATAATAAAAGCAAGATGCAATCATGAGTCTGACTGATCCAGAAAACACTTCTAGTAATGGCGACCGTAGAAGTAGCGTATGGAGCCAAAATGCGCTAAAAACTACTTTGAACGTTTAGTTAACATGTAAATAGGACCGGGCGAGTGATGAGACGTGAGAAAAGAGGAGCATGACAACGTCCAGGGTTATTTCGTTATCAGTAAACTCAGTTAAACCTCTAAGTTTGTAGTATGGCTGTGAATGAAAAAACATAAATCAACTGCAGAGTTGAAACAAACAAAATCTTGCAGCGGAGTTAGTGGGAGCGTTTCACTAATAAATATCAAATTGCTGTCCTGAACGGCTGATTCTGTATCAGTTACTGTCGGGTGTTCTTGGCACAGAACCTGTTTTCAACCCCAGTTAGTATCTGGCTACGTTTTACCCTTCGTTGTTTACCGCGGAAAATGGACGAATCGAGTACGGTATAGATTGTTAACTGTGACGCTTGACAAATATGTGTGCCAAAACGTTTACCGGAAGAAGTTTCTCGGAAGTACTCTCCGCCAAAACAGAAGTCGCCTATATTTGAGTACCACCTATCCTGATTCCTATTATTTCCTATCAATTAACTATGCCTGACGAATGTCGTTGTTGGGCACTTCTTTATTTGCTAGATTAAATTGATTTACTGGAGTCCATACTGTTTTATCATAGTTTCGTTAAATGACTATCGAAGATTTTATATTTGCTTATTTTTCTAGAGATTTCTGCCAAATGTCATTATAATTATTATTTATGGGTTATCTTTATGGGTACCGCAAGTACGTTGGGCATTATTACGGCAATACGTTCCGACCAGACAATCTCACCCAGTTGCTTGAAGCTGTCCTCAAATAAGCGAGCAATGACATCAGCAGTACATGTACATGTGTTACATAGTAAAAAATGGTCTACATGCTAAAATATACATGTACCTTTTTTCAGCGACAGTCGGGGACACCCCTACAAAACATAAGACGATGTAGACCTTGGATAATGACAAGTAGGCATAAAGTAATTGAACGGTAAGTAAACTGCGAATACGAAAATCAATTACAACATATTTTTATTAATTGTCATGCCGTAATCCTTAAAGGTATATATATATCTACGGTACTATCCTTTGTCCTGAAAAAATGGATGAAAAAGTTGACTTCAGTGCTCCGGAGAGTCACGTTGCCCTCTGGCTAATAAAAATATCCCGGGCGAAACCATTACAAATAGTCCGTGTAGAGCTTTTAAGGTGCAAGAAAAAACGGGGCGTCCTAGGGAATCTACCTAGAAAACTTTCTGACGGGACTCATGTGAAAAACAAGCCTAAGATGTTAAGTTTAGTTTTTAGCACATCCTATAGTTAACTGATGACAGGTTTTGTAACTTCTCTTGACATTCTTGATAGTGCATATGAAATCCTGTGGACATTTTCGAGACACTTTCTGAATAGAACTGAAGTTTTGCAACGCTGATGAAAACTCAAATAACTTAGCTGGGTCTACGACAATAAACGTTTTCTACAGCTTCATTGGACAGGCTCTAAACGAACATAAACTAAGTAAATTTATTCCAATTAGTAATATTATAGATTTGGAATTTAGGTTTTTTTTTTTTCTTATATGGCATTCGTGCATGTCACGATAGCTCTCGTGAGGTATTTGTGTGCACAAATGCGCTAATATATAATATTTGCTGACGGCCAATGCAAAATGAAAAAGAGCCTGAAGACTCATGAAGGTTTTAAAGGAACGACAGGTGCTAGAAATGCTGTATGTAGAATTACGCCAACCTGCCGCATTTCCCCTGCTAACACATATGTTACCTATCGTATCTTTGGGGACCATTTCATGTGTCTTATACTGTCTTCTTTGCAAACCCTTTGAAAAATTTTATTAAACATAAAATAATGTTTTTTCTATTTTCAGTCGGACAACTAAAAGTTCCAGACAACCAAAATAATCATAGCTTGTTTGTGCTATGGTTTTTTTTAATTTATTTTCTCGCCCAGAACATCAACCAGATCAAGCGAGGCACATCCTTTTAAAGTAGGTTTTCTGCGGGATTCATCTGATTACTGCACCGCCGTGTATGTAAACTTTGCCGCCATTTTGTTTATCGTCGCCAGTCACTAAAATATCAAATATATCTGTACAAGTGCTTTGAGATAATGAGAGCACGATCGGTCTTTGGTAACGCTCGCAGTTTAAGGGAGCACTGAAACAATTTACAAGAGAGTAAAAAGTGAAACGAGCCGATTTACACGTCTCATAAAGAAAAATCGTATTATAGGAAATAATATCTATTTTTTAAATTTGTTTATGTTGAAATTGTGCGCACTTTAAATTTTTCTGAACGATAACAAGAACGGGTTTTTCGTGTCGCTGTTTTCCATTATTATTATTATTATTACATTAATTGATGAAGTATCTTTAGCACTATGACATTGTACGTGCGTGATTCGCTTAGAAAGCAGCTCAGAGAGAACGTCGAATGAAGACTACTGGCCAGTTGTTTAGAGTAAAAATTAGTAAGTTATTTTTGGCGATGCTATAGATTAGATTTGTCCTAAAAATAGGAAATATTAAGACCAACATGAATAAACTAAAAATTCTATAGAGCAAAAATCGACTGTCGATTGAACCAGCAGTGGCTACCTGATTCAAATACTGATTGTTGCTTTACTTTAAGAGCTCCAATTAGTATTTTAATAAGTTAACTTTGGTTGATCCCACTGTTTTTAACAGTTGAAATAAGTGTTTTCAGACGACGTTACGGTTACTGACGTTAACGGCAAATCTAACAGAGATAATGTGCGTAGTATAGCATTTCTTCTATATGCTACAGAATTACTTTTTCAACGATATTGAGTTTGAAAGAAGATGAAGCTCAGATCAGTGTGAATTTTATAACAGGTAGTCATGGTTGGCGATGTTACTAGGCATAACCTGTTGTTGACGGTTGTATTAGTTGTAGAAATAAACCTAGACTTTCCTAGAATATTGTACGTCTATATACGATATACGGTTGTATACGGTTTTCCATGATTTGTCGTTGATATTATAACAGAAGCGCTTCCATATGACATGCTCATCGTCATTCCATTGAAGCTCAGAATGTTCCGTATGCAAACACTTCAGTTATTTACGCAGAGCAAATAGAAATCTCTTGAGCTCAGCTCCGCATCTATTTTCTGCCATTAGTTTTTAATTTTTGTCCAAAATACGACAATTAAAGTCACTCATCAACAGTCGTGCGTCAATGCTTCTGCAGATCACACTTTCACAGGTGACAAAACATCGTCGTGTATAAAATACTACATTTGTCCGTTAGTCTTTAGTATCCGTTTTAATAAATGGCTATAAATAAGAATATGCTACAAGCAGAAACCATATAAACAGTTACCAACATGTATCGGTTGGTGTTTTTAAATTTGAGGCTTTAACTGTAGTCCTTGAGCATATGGACGTAATCTAAATATATCCTTCGTTGGGCGCTTGAACTATCTAATCTAGTAGGTTTCTATAAAGAAGATATGTAATATTCTGTAATATGTTACCGCAAGTGTAAAAACATCCAGTTATCAACCATTATCCGTTTTTGATGCATACAATGAACCGCTTCGAAGCATGTTCATCTATTTTCTGAAGGGAATCAAACGCATTTGTTAGTGCCTCGGTTTCTGGGGTGAAGCCCAGCTTGTGAGGCATCTATATATTCGATCTTGCTGCCACACTTGATCGATTTCAGTCGTTCACACGCAGTACGGCGTGCTTTCCAGATGAAAATGCTATTTTAATGATATTTTATATTTTACAATCATAAATTATTAAAACTCCAAGTTGAAGTTGAAAGAGTGGAAGTTATTTTCAAACACGATTAGGCATTAACTCTTTTCATTGTCTTCTGCAGGGTGTTCTCAGATAAATCACTCAGTAACACGACAGCCTATAAATAAACAGAATGAGACGAAAGCCACATCGACTGATCGTGTCTGATTGGTCTACCTACAGCCCCTTCGGGGCAAACTCGGATTATGTTAATTTACTTTACTATATCACGACAAACAGCGATATCCGAAAACCAACAATCTGCCGGTTAGGCAGATCCATATTTACATTATTCGCGCATTATTTGTCAAAAAGGAGTTAAAATTATGGTAGTAAAATTATGGTAGTAAAAAATTAGGTAGTAAAACATTTATGGCGACCACGTAGCTGGAACGATGATTGGGTTTAGAAAATAGGTCATCATGGAACTCGCGTTATGTGGCCAAAATGAACCTTCCTACTTTCCCAATAAGTTAGAGCCTGATTCTTTGTTATATTCACAATACCTTTAACCGTTAAGCTTCATTTGAGCTACATATACACCGTACTTCGTAGTTTCCATTGCTCGCTGTTGTTTTGATTGAGTGAATACTTTCGGTGTAGTAAAAAGGGCAAAGATCGCCTTTTTTCCATCTATGTTAATTAATGGGGCTTGCAATAATTAAAAAAATAATTGAATGTGTTTCGCGTTTGCCATTTTTTAACATTCTAAGCAGCACACGCGCTGACATTGAACTACTGTTTCCTTAATTAATCCATGTAACTGTTGGCTACGTATTTAGTTAGCAAAAAGCTAAACAATATTTTGCGGTCTAATGAGTAGAACAGTAGGATGAAATTGAAACGTTGTACGTATTGAGACGTGACGCGACGTAATGAAGTACGAAAAATGTAGTATTATTTGTGAACAATTTGAGGGTATCGGTATTTGCCGGTGGGGCAAAATTATTTTGCCATGATAATAGGATAGACGCATAAACACGCAGCGATCGATAGGCTATAGTCAGCACGGACTACCGTGGGCTTTACTCTGTTTAGCATGGAATGGACAAAGGTAAAGTTCGTCTACTGTGACCACCTTTTTCATTTAGAATACCACTCTGCCTCTTGAGACGGTCGTCAGGTGATCACCCGCTCAGATGTTTATGAGCAATGACTCGCGTATCATCTGCCATCGCTCGATCGATATGCTTTCCTTAACAGGTTCTAGTTCTGCATTTTCCCATGTCACAACACTATCTGGATACCGTGAACTGAAGTGGGAGGGTAGGTCGATGTTTACTTTGCCTTCGTTTAGTTGAATGGTCTTTTTGGGGCTGATTGTTTCTTCATGGGTTTCTGATACGGTAGAGATTTGATGGCGTAATCTAAAAACTGCAATATGCGGGCATACGCAGAACCCGTCGAAGTGTCCTGTTGCTAAGACAGTCACTGCCACTCGCAATGTAGCTGTAATAGCAGTTGTTTGTATTGTTATAGTTATATTACAGGGCTTTATGCCTTCTGTGGCAGTCTAGAGGATACCGATCCTGTCCCTTATTCATCATCTGGGTTTTCTCGTTTGCTAAATTGGTCGAAAACTAAACAATCGAATTACGAAGCTCATGTGGTTCGATCAACGAATGTTGTGTTTTTATTTTTAGGCGGTGACTCCTTGCAGCTTTTATACAGGGCGGTAGGAAACAGCATATCGTTCTATTGGAGAAATTATAAGTAAAGACCACCCCGTCTAGACTGTTAACGGGTCAAGTTCTTAATGCTATACATAAAATAGGTAATTTCGAGGATTTATTTACATACAGAATTATAAATGCCAAAAAGAGAATAGACACATTGAGACTTCTTTAGAAATTAACAATAGGATATAATTAAGATAATACAGCAGCTTAGGGATAACAAGTATGACTGGCTGAATACTGAGCCATTTGTTGCAGCCGCTGCCATCTATGAGTAGTTGCTTCTGCCTATATATCGCGGCATCTGTCCTAGAAATACCTGAGTGCAGGTTCATATTGGTGCACAACATCAGAGGCGAGGCTTGTTTTATCTCTCCATATACTTTCAATAAGAGTGTTTTCAGTTTATACAAAATGTGATTACAGTGAAGACACGTGGCAGTAATTCAACTGGCTGCGCGTTGCTATTGAAGTTGTACCTGCTACAGGTTTAGTGACAGGATGCAATGTAACCTACGTTGTTTTTAGAAAAAGCAAATCAGTGAGAAACATCTTTTGCCTTCAGCGAAAGTTTTTCAGATAACAAGATGCAGGTTTAACGTCGATACATAATTTCTTTTTCCTACCTGTGCGCCTAATATGTAAGTGGGAAGAACAGGCTCCTACCTTTTACTACAAGCAAATAGTCAATTGGTCAAAAATAAGTCCTTTGCCCTTAGTTCGCGCTCAGTTTCTTCCATCAGTAACGTCGTTTGACAGAACGCTAGATAGTTTCGGTAGCACGTGATCGAGCGATTAGTACGCCATTATGCGTATGTAACAAACTTTTCACTCGTCACCTCACCTGCACACAAGAATTCGTGAAAGCTTTCCTTTCTCCCTATATTATCCGAGACTTCTAGTCGTTAGAAATGCGTTTGTGACCTTATTAATGCACTTAGTAACAATTACATACCCAAGATGTACCGTCATTTTATTCCTAATCATGCACATTTGTAAGCGGATATATGATGCACACGATGTAGTTATTGATACTTACTTAAGACAGATAGTGGCGACGACGACCGATGTAGGAAGTTATCCGCAGGAAGCAGGCGGGAGCTTTTCCCTTTATAAAAATGTTACGCAGAACTGTCACTGCATAGATATGATAACAACGGCAGGATTTTTACATTAAGCGTGCGAAAAAAGATACCTCTAGCGCGGTAAGTGACAAAACACCATCATTGTTTGAGAAATGTCCGACGATAATAAAGCTAGCGAGTTGTCAGGACACTGGGCTGAGCGGCATCAGTACAAACGCATACCAAAATTTCAATCAGACTAAATATTGTTGTCAAGATAATTCATTATCGACCATGATTATACTCCCATAGAAATTGTACATTTCATTTATTTATTTCACTTGCTTATCTCTGCCGTCACGTGTATGCTTCGTTATATCGAAAACGTATATAGAGGGTATCCATTTCAAAAACGGGTCCGCAGTTATGCAAAACGGAGAATTGGCAAGACCGCTATTAAATAGAAAATCGACATTTTGTACACACTTTTGAGGATAATCTGCGCTTCCATAAAGCGTTGACTTGATTGAAAAATCTGCATCCAAACACGTGCTTATACCCTGTGATACATCTAGAATCTAAGCAGACCTTGTTCGCAATGGGAGATAAAAAAAAAAAAAAAAAAAAAAGAGTTAAAAGAAGTAGCGTCCTCACTGCAGTCC